AAAAGATTATTGTAAAAAAGTTGGTCGTCAATATTTGGCCCATAAACATTTATTAAATTAAGTTGTTCACCCAATAAGGTACCTTGTATTATTATATATCTACCCCCTATGTCCGCATTGATGTCCGTCACTTGAAAAGGGACCGATTTATGAATGAGTATTGCCACTCCCCTTGAGTGTGACGAAAATGACGCAGTTATGACCTGACCCTGCCATCGTCTTCTTAAACGCAAAATCTCAGTGGATGTTAGGTGGGTCTCTTGCAGGTATACTACCTTGGATTGCAAAATTTTAATTCTAGTCATTACTTGTTTTATCTTACATAATCCCCCTAGCCCTCTAACATTCCATGATGATATTTTAAAAAGATTATCAAGTGTCATTAAACCATCTCTCCAAAATGATCAAAAGGGACCTCATTGTAAATATTGAAACAGCAACTACTCGTCTGCCAGACCACATTGTCACATCAAGGATCACATATAAACAAACGTAAAAATACAAAAATACACCATAAGAAAGCATGAACCCTCCGTCTCCCCAAACGAGACGTGAAACACTCTCACCAACGGCCTTAACGAAACGCGCCGTCCTCCTCACCTCTTCCATGTAAGAGCTCCTAGGCTATTTAACCGATCCTTTAAGAGGAGCAGTTAAACCAATAACTAACCACTGCAAGAACCCCTCATCTTCGACCAATATATATTCGAGGGATGAGAGAGACCAAAAGCAACAACAAATCCGAAATATTGCAAAACATTAAGACAAATTAAACATCCATTCAGTATTTTTAACACACCCTAAACATGAAATGTGGTGCATTCAACACTGTTTTAAATCACTACCACATATCGAGATAACGGAGATAAGCTTAAAATGTAGTTGGGCGTTACAATGCATGAATGAGCGGTAGTAAGCCTGAACAGAGATATGAATGCAGATTAACCTTCAAACGACGTAATGTGGATCGTATCATTTCCAAGTGAAAACTAGCGTCCAATAGTATTAGCTTTTTATCTTAATTCCAGCAGAGCATCCGGACAAACTAGGGACATAGCGGAGTGTCAAACCTAGTGAAATTACAGTGCGTTCTTCGTCAGTAACGCCAGGATATATCCATAGGCTTGAAGCGTTGAAGTCGGTACAAAGCATAGTTCAAGTTGTACAGTCAGTATAGGAACAAAAAAAACAAAAAAAAAATGCTCCGCTGGATGATCCAAATATTTAAACTCACCACATCTAGCCGTTGTCTGTATCCTTTCCATCTCGAAGAAATGACTCAACCTCTTCAGGGGTATTGAACACACGTCTTTTCCCGTTGTGCAGCGTGTACATCCTCGCGGGGAAAATGAGGCCGAATTGTATTCCCCGGGTACGGAGCTGTTGCTTCACTTCGCCATACTTCATACGCCGCTTCGTCACCTCCGCTGAGAAGTCGGGGAAAAACATGATATGGCGAGTCCCGTATATCACCTTTCCCTTGGCTCGTGCCGCCTGCATCACCCTTACTTTATCCCTAAAGTTTAAAAACTTTAAGATGAGAGGTCTCGGGATAAGAGGGGAGTTGGGCTTCGGTCTGCCACCCGGGATTCTGTGAGCTCGCTCGATTACCAACGGTGTTGGGAAGTTTTCGGGACCGAGTACTTCTGGTATCCATTTCTCCAAAAACGATTCCACATCTCTACCTTCAGCGTTTTCTGGGAGACCAATAACACGTAGATTTGACCTCCTATCGCGATTCTCAAGATCGTCTACTTTCTCGGTGAGTGCTGTAATCACCTTCTCCATCCCGTTCACTGTGTTATGAAGCACTGTCACGTTATCCTCTGTCTCACCAATGCGATCCTCGGCCTGTGTTAATCTTCCCGAGTAGGAGTTGAGATCCGTTTTAATTTCCGAGATTGCAGCCAGAATCTCATCATTACGGGTGGTAACGTCTGCTCTTAGGGAGTGGATTGCTTCTAATATTTTGCCGTTAGATTCAGCTTGGGCTGAGCTAGCTATGAGGCTCGCGCTGGCTCCATCGGCATTGGCATTAGCCGTGTCCATCTTTAGCTTAGCTTGCCTGGTTGTTGGAGTCCTTCATGTTCTGGAACAATTTGGCTTCAGCTTTGGTGTTTTTTTTGGCATATCAGATTGCCATTGTTTTATGTCTCAAACTGTGGGTTTTTATGAATATTTAACTGGTCAGTATAGGTAAAAGGATGGAATTGATCGGAGAGTCGGGGCTCGTCACCTGTTCAGCCGTCCGCCATTACCTGAACTCTTCATTTCATTTCATTTCAAACCTTTATTTATTCAGGTTGTATCCCATTGAGATCATTGACCTCTTTTTTAAGGGAGACCTGCTCAAGTAGGTTCCACATGAAACATTAAAAACATAAACAGAACAACAAAAGGACATCAAACAGTAGCTTCAAGCTCTTACTTATCTTTTTAATTGAACTCTTTCCAACAATGAGATTCCTAACATATGGAAATCTGCATATGTTCTTCCTTTACTGAAAGGAGGGGATCCCTCATCTGTTAATAATTATAGGCCAATTTCAAAATGATGTGTTGTAGCCAGAGATGGAGTACTCGAGTCCTGGACTCGGAATCGTGACTCGACTCGGACTCGCGCATTGATTGACGCGACTCGGACTTGGACTCGTCAATTCTCGCGCATGATGACTTGGACTCGGACTCGGACTCGTGAATTCTTGTTTACAATGACTTGGACTCGGACTCGAACACAGGTAATGATGACTCGGACTCGGACTTGACTTGGACTCTTCTTAGGTGACTCGGACTCGAACACAGGTAATGATGACTTGGACTCGGACTCAAACACAGGTAATGATGACTTGGACTCGGACTTGACTTGGACTCTTCTTAGGTGACTCAGACTTGGACTCGGACTCGAACACAGGTAATGATGACTCGGACTCGGACTTGACTTGGACTCTTCTTAGGTGACTCGGACTCGAACACAGGTAATGATGACTCGGACTCGGACTCGAACACAGGTAATGATGACTCGGACTCGGACTTGACTTGGACTCTTCTTAGGTGACTCGGACTCGAACACAGGTAATGATGACTCGGACTCGAACACAGGTAATGATGACTCGGACTCGACTCGACTCGGACACTCGTTGGGTGACTCGGACTTGGACTCGGACTCGAACACAGGTAATGATGACTCGGACTCGACTCGGACACTCCTTGGGTGACGCGGACTTGGACTCGAACACAGGTAATGATGACTCGGACTCGGACTCGACTCGGACACTCCTTGGGTGACTCGGACTTGGACTCGAACACAGGTAATGATGACTCGGACACTCCTTGGGTGACTCGGACACTCCTTGGGTGACTCGGACTTGGACTCGGAGAGTGGTGACTCGAGAGTGACTTGGACTCGTGAATTGGTGACTTGACTACAACACTGGTTGTAGCGAAGGTCCTTGAAAAGCTTCTCAGTGAACAACTTAAATTATTCTTGGACACAAATGATATTTTGTCAGAGCACCAATCCGGTTTTAGAAAACAACACAGCACAACAACTGCTGCTATTAAAGTGGTGAACAACATCATTGAGGCATTGGACTGTAAAAAGTATTGTGCAGCTCTATTTATTGATTTGTCAAAGGCGTTTGACACAGTTGATCATACCATCATGGCGGAAAGACTTCACAGTATCGGCTTATCTAGGCATACTGTAGGTTGGTTTTTAAATTATTTATCAGCGAGAACCCAATGCGTCCAATTTTCTGGGTCTTCTTCTTCCTTCCTCCCGATAGCAAAGGGTGTGCCACAAGGTTCCATATTAGGACCCATTCTTTTTACCATATATGTAAATAACCTATGTAATAATTGAGCAAATGCTTCTTACCATTTTTATGCAGATGATACTGTTATTTATTGTTCCTCCGCTTCTATAGAGCAAAGTCTAGATTTCCTCCAGTCTGCCTTTGATGTCATACAAACCCATTTATATCAACTAAAGTTGGTATTAAATGCAGAAGGTGTCACCAATCCCCTCTCCCTGCTCTGTTGATTGAACTGACTAGTAAAGTAAAGGCAAAGTAAAATCAAGAAAACCATCAAGATTGAATTTCTGATTCTTTATTTACACTCAACTCACACAACATGTATAACCCAACACCATAGTGGTGCAGGGATGACGTATTTACCCGGAAGGAAGCTGCTGGTTCTCTCGACAAAAAAGCAACGGGATTTCTCCATAGGATTTTGGAAAATAGCTGTAAATAAGGTTTGTAGAAAACTAACCTGTTTGATAAATGCAAGTTTTGTTCAGCCGGATAATCTCCACGTCTACCCTACTTTTATAATTTTCTAAATCATAAATCTAATCTCCAAAAGCGAAATGCTAACGTTATGCTATAAAGGAACTATAGCCGAGTACAGCAGCACGACTTCAACGTCACGCCAACTTAAGATCCATATTCAAACATACAGATTCTAAACAGTACAAGTTGAAGCATTTGTTTGAACAGTTTGCAGGAGGCAGGTACTTGCTTTCAAGCAGAACAGGGCAAACAAACTTAGAGGGGTGTTTACGTGTTCGGCGTAATGACGTACAACGTCCTCCACAACTTCTGTAGTCCTATTCAGCCACTTGGTAACAACCATAGTTTTTCAGACACGTCAACTCTTCAGAAATCACCAGTGGGGTCACTGCTGATGGATTTAATGTCATAGAACAAAAGTGATCCGTCTCTTCAATGTGTCTCACAGACCTTATTTCCAGATATTTTCCAAAATCCTATGGAGAAATCCCATAGAGAGGCAAAGTCCCGCCCATCGACACATTTTTATTTTCTTGACTTGTAAAATTATCTTTTAAATTGACAAACATCATATGTGTAATTCGTGGCACAATTCAAACGGGATCGAAAGATAATCTTTCTCTCTCCATTGACTTCAATGCATAACTTTTCCGAAATAAGGTCCCATGGAGGTCCACCGGAAAGGGAGGGACTTCGCCTCTCTATTGGCTCTGAGACGAGGGAACAGGAAGTGGTAAAATGCTAACTCACTTCAGGGTTTTAGGACTCATTCCTGCACCACTCTATTAAACATATCTGCAGCAAAAAAAACTTGAAAAACATCTCTGCAACTTCACTCTTTTTTGCTTTTCTCACCAGCACACTTGTGTTTATTTAAATTGAACACCCGAGTGAAACCTGTCTTGCAAACTGAGCAGCTGTATGGTTTCTCCTCGGTGTGGACAGCTGCGTGTTGTCTCAGATTGGACCTTTGGGTGAAGCCTTTACCACAAACCGTACAACTGAATGGTTTCTGGCCGGAGTGGACAATTGAGTGTTGTGTCAGATTTGTCATTTGTGCAAAGTCTTTTCCACAAACTGAACAACTGAATGGTTTCTCCCCCGTGTGGACAATCAAGTGTTTTCTCAGACTTGATTTGTGGGTGAAGCTTTTACTACAAAGTGAACAACTGAATGGTTTCTCCCCTGTGTGGACAATCAAGTGTTTTCTCAGACTTGATTTGTGGGTGAAGGATTTACTACAAAGCGTACAACTGAACAGTTTCTCCCCGGAGTGGACAGTTGAGTGCTGTCCCAGATTGCCACGTGTTGCGAATGTTTTACTACAAACTGAACAGCTGAATTCTTTCTCCCCTGTGTGGAGGTGGACGTGTTTATTCAGAATTGACTTGTATGTGAAACTTTTATCACAAACCGTGCAACTGAATGGTTTTTCCCCATCGTGGACAGTTGAGTGTTTTTTCAGATTGGACCTGTCGGCAAATCTTTTACCACAAACCTTACACTTGAATGGTTTCTCCCCTGTGTGGAGGACCAGGTGTGTTCTCAGATTGCCTCTTGTTGCGAATGTTTTACTACAAACTGAGCAGCTGACTCGTCTCTCCCCTGTGTGGACAGTATAGTGTCTATTCAGAATAGACTTGAATGCGAAACCTTTACCACAAACAGGACAACTGAATGGTTTCTCCCCTGAGTGGAGGACCAGGTGTGTTCTCAGATTGCCTACTGTTGCGAATGTTTTACTACAAACTGAGCAGCTGACTCGTCTCTCCCCTGTGTGGACAGTATAGTGTCTATTCAGAATAGACTTGTATGCGAAACCTTTACCACAAACAGGACAACTGAATGGTTTCTCCCCTGAGTGGATTCTCATGTGCGACGCCAACTCTCCTCTCCTTTTAAATGTTTGTTGACAAACTGAGCAGCTTTGAGGTTTTGCTTCACTATGAACTTTGAGGTGTTCGGTCAAACCTGACCTTTTCGCAGATGTGAAATCACAGAAGGTGCAACTATAAAGTGTCTCTCCAGTGTGTTCCTGCAGATTCCCCTCATGCACAAAGCTTCTAGCACGCCCATCATCACCCTCAATGCCACTTCCGGGTACTTCATTGTCTTGCAGAGGGTTTAAATCGGGTTTCTCCCAATTTCTGCTGTCGTCAGTCTCGTACTCAGAGTGTGAACTTGTGTATTGAGTAGCTGGTTGTAAAGGATGATCTGGATCTGATCCTTCACCCTCCTCTTCATCGGTTTCTGTTGTCTCTACCTCTCGGTTATTCTCAGTCTTGATTTCATGAAGCGGTGAGGAGGACTGAGCCTTCTCTTCATCCTCTTCTTCACTCTTCACAGTAGTGAAAGTATCAGCCACCTCCTGCTCTATCTGCAGACTGGACCAGAGTTCCTCCTCTTCCTCTTTAATGTGGGGGGGCTCTGGGTCCTCCTTTACAACACTGAGGCTACACTCCTGCTGCTGGGTATCTGTGGAGATCAATGACATGAATGCAGGTGTGTTAGAAGACTCTAATTTCATGTTAACACTCAATCATTTATTATCAATTTAATGAGAAATCTCCCCACTGTGTGTACTAGGGGTGGGGGAAATAATCGATACAGTATAGTATCGCGATACTTTGCGTGGCGATATTTGATCAATACACGGATGCCAAGTATCGATGTTTTTTTATATAAACTGTAGCATATCCCTCCGCAAGATGGTCGTATATAAAACAGGAAGCTACATTAATTACATGTATGAAAGTAACACAAACAATGCCATCTCCTTTTCAGGTTCAAAGAACACACATTGGGTTATTCACATAAACTATTCATATTGCAAATACATGTTTTAAACAGGAAGGGAAGACGGACATGGATATGAGCCATGTGATTTGCAATATCGCAATATATCGTATCGCAATACTTAGCATATAAGTAAATACTTTCGTATCGTGGCTTAAGTATCGCGATAGTATCGTATCGTAGGGAGACTGATTCCCATCCCTAGTGTCTACTCTTATATAACCAATAGATATAAATGTGGTTGTGAACATGGTTCAAAACATGGGCGGAGGGAGCGTCTGCAAAACATATATATGAATGCAAACATCGGGACATGTTCTCTGATCTGATAAAGAGGAATACGCCTCATAAGAACTCTTCTGCATCAGGACCTGTGTTGAAAATGTCTGTATCAACAAATGAGTTTTTACAAAAACAGGAAACCATGGAAGACCAAGGATGTCCAGAACCTTTCTCCCTTCAGTTTACCTCCAACGCATCTTGAGATACATCGTTTTTAATATGAGGAAAAAACGTAATCCGTCAGACAACCATAGACGGACAATCTAAAAGCACAACTTGTAAATGTTCTGAGAAATAGCGTGCACAAAGAAATGTAAAAAACAAGAACACTGGTTTAGTGTAAAGATGTTAACAAACTTTACAAATGTAAAAAACTACATTGATCCCGCTTTGCAGCTTTAAAAATAAAAAGCCTCCTTAATCTACCGACTCTCAAATGACTCAGAAACATGCGGGAATGTTGTTTGGCCTGTTTCCTTAAAGTGGACCTATCATGCTATATTTGAACAATATATTGTAGGGCCATACCTATAAAAAACATGTCTGTGAATTTTTTTTTTCAAAATACCAAACAGATCATGCATTTTAGCCATGCCTCATTTCGTTCTATTTGCTCTTTCCAGCCCTGTTTTTGCAGGGGGCTGATTCTGTGAGCTGCAGCTGACCACGCCCCCCTGCAGGAGAGGGGAGCCGTGCTCTGATCAAGTCAGAAGAGGGGAAGAAAAAGAGATCTCCGTCCTCCGTGTATTATTCTTATATGATTATATAGAGTCATTATTCATTTGTTTTAAAGCTCAATAAATAACAAAGAAGACCTTTGACCGGCACTTTTCAAATTTTGTCCGGAAGATTTCAACTTTAACGGACATGTTGACCGGCAAAAAAAAAATCTAACTGAAACTCTGCCGCACGGTCCCCTCGTTCCTTGGAAGAGGCGGAGAGGTGGGTGTTTGTCATCTGCTGGTGGACTAACCGGAGAGAATTACAGTGCTTGCCTCGACGGGGAGGGATTGCATTGAATTAAAGCAGCGGGAGCAAACACTTGCCTCGGGGAGGGAGAAAGAAAGCCACAGCGGAGAATAAACAGAAGGGTAACCATGGTAACTATGCGCGGGAAGTCTTCTTCGCTGCTTTTGTGGCAGACTACAGCGCCACTTACAGGCCTGGCATATGTACTACAGCGTCTCCAGCGCTTTCGAGCGGCAATGGCCGGCCGTGGCCCAACCCCACATTCCCCTGATAGGTGGAGAGTTGGCCATATAGGCGGAGCTCCTCGTTCCTGACGTCAGATAATTTTCAAATCTGTATCAGTCTGTATAAGATCCGTTGCAGCCCCGTTTTTAGAGATTTGGGTAGGGAGGAAAAGAGAGGGTTGTGTTTTCTGACACTTGGTGAGTTCCCTGACACACCGGGGACTAGTGTTGCACGGTGTACCGATACTTGAAAAGGTACCGCGACACCCTGCCGTTAAAAACGTTACGATTCCTCCGTTTCATTAGTATCGGTACTTTAAGAATGACAGGGAAAAGTACTCCGGTGAGAAAGCGCCGTTTTAATAAGAGCCGTGTGTGTTCAGCGCTCTGCTTCCACTCCCTGCACTGCAGCCGTGCCTGCAGTCCCTCCCCTCTCAAGCACGCTCTAAGTGCCTCCCCTCTCTCGTGCACGCGCTAGCTGCCAGAGCATGTGAGAAAACGAGAAGCTGCAAGTGGGAGTGCAACTGCCGCTGCGCCTCGGCTTGTTGACAAAAAAAGACGCCAGAAGCGAAATTTGGAAGTATTTTAGCTATATCTCTGACAGTGAGGGAAAGCCTACGGACACCACGAGGCCTGTCCAAGACATGTTTTAGATCCCTGCAAACCAAGGGAGTAGGGCTGCTCGATTATGGCAAAAATCTTAATCTCGATTATTTGGGTCAATAATTGATATCACGATTATTAAAAACGATTATCCATTTACTTTGAAAACATCAATTTATTGGAGAAAAAAAATGTGAACAGTATGTTTTTAACAGTTGATTACCCTGAACTTTAAGTATAATTCAACTGAAAAACCAATAAAAAAAAAAGTAATAAAAAAAATTAAAATAAAAGTAATAAAAATAATAAAAAAATAATCGTTTTATTTCGATTACGTTGTTTTTGTAATCGTTGCAAGCCATAATCGTAATTGCGTAATTGAGCAGCCCTACAAGGGAGCCAACACATCAAACTTGGCTAAGCACCTCGCCGACCGGCATCCAGAGCTGTTTAAAGAATTTAAAGGCAATTAATGGCAATGACAACTGTCTAATATGGCTATCTTTTTAGCTAACTTACCAATGTGGCTAACATCTGCAATGTACATTTTGTCAATAATTATTTATATTACATGTTAATAAAATATCAAAGTTAACTATCAAAGAAATCACATAAACTCAAGTATAAAGAAGAGACCATGTTGTAAGAAAACACTTAACATAGGGCTGTGCAATTAATCGTATTTTAATCGCAATCACGATTTTGGCCTACCACAATTACGAAAACAACATAATAGAAAAAAACTAAATTATTTTGCTTTGCTAGGTTGTGACAGTTCACTGCAACATATTTGATCTAATTAATTTTGGTCTCATTTATTTGTATTTATCATATTTATATATGTTTAGTAGCTTGTGGAAGTGCGCTCCAAAATATTTGTTGATCTTGTTTATTGGTATTTATTATTTTGATATTATTTATTTAAATGTATCATTTATTTAATTAATTTTTTTTATTGGTTTTTCAGTTGAATTATACGTTCAGGGTAATCAACAGTTAAAAATATACTGTTCAAATTATTATTTGTATTTGTTTTAAGTCAATGAATAATTGTATTTAATAATCGTGATATCAATTATTGACCCAAATAATCGTGATTATGATTTTTGCCATAATCGCACAGTCCTAACTTAACAGATAAACTACAATTTTATTGATCATGAAAATAATAAACATAAATGACATTAACTGTGAGTTTGGTACTTCAGAATGATGAAGCTCAAACCCAGGATTAGCCTGCCCTGAACACTACTGATGATGGTATCTCACAAACTAATTAACCATCATTTTTCTAACCCATGTATTTCAACTACAGAAGTAAAAGCACAATAATTACATTTAAGACTGTTTCCCTTTTTTTAAGAAAAGTATCGAAAAAGAATCGGAATCGCAATTCTTGACTTGGTATCGGTACCAAAATGTTGGTATCGTGACAACACTACCGGGGACACATATTCATGTATAAAAAAAACGTACAAAAGTGCATTTTGCATGATAGGTCCCCTTTAAGTAAACGTTGTCTTTTTGCTTTGTGTTATTATCAAAGAGTACCAGAATGCGTACTTGACATGTTCAAAGAAAATCCCCCCCAGACCCCTGCAGGGCTTTGGTTTACAAACATGGTTTTCACAACATGTGCGTGTGCATTTGCATCACTGTGGAGAACGGGCGTGATCAAGACTCTTAAAGGGGACCTATCATGCAAAAGGCACTTTTATACGTCTTGTATACATGAATATGTGTCCCCGGTGTTCCAGGGAACTCACCAAGTGTCAGAAAACACAACCCTCTCTATTTTCCTCCATACCCAAATCTCTAAAAAAGGGGCTGCAACGGATCTGATAAAAACTGATCCAGATTTGAACACTTTACTGACGTCAGTAAAGTGGCGCTACGGCTATTGGGCCAACTCTCCACCTATCAGGGGAATGTGGGGTTGGGCCAAAGATAAGATAACTTTAACAAGATGCCTGTGTGCTTAGCACCAGGTTGTTATCATACCAGCAATCGGTCTTGCTCGTTCTTTCCCTTCCCGTCTGATGAAAGGATCAAGTTAGCTAGTAGCTAGCACGTTAGTTAGCATTACAGCCTTGTCATTTTTATTAGCCTTAAAGCTCCCATGTCATGCTTTTCCGGTTATTACCCGTCCCCTTGTGTGTTATGAAGGTTTTTATGCATGTAAACGGTGTGCAGAGTCAAAACCCTCAAAGTACACCCTGTAGCGAGTAAAACTCTAACACAGAAAATACCTCCCCAAAACGCCTCGTTGGAGATACGTCACTGCCCATTTGAGTCTTCCATTTAGTTCCGGGTACCGCCTGATGTCATGCGGTACCCGGAACGAAATGGACCAATCCCGAAGAGCTATGGCCACACCAGCAGCGGCGTGTTCCTCCTCCAGAGGTTCGAAGAACCGGCATTTCACAGACGAAAGCTTCCAAAACATTGCCCAGTTTGAGGCCGGATATGCACAGCTTGTTTGGACCGTTTGGAGCAGGGGAAGATCTGGGTATACAACCTGTAAGTTTGCATTGTTATTTGTGTATTTATCAAACAAGACTGTTTAAATGTGTAAACTGTGTTGGACTGCTAAGCCATTGACACAGTGCTAACTGTGCTAACTAAGTTGCTAGAGTTTCCATATATCAACTCTAATATCAGCAGATGGCCTTGCATACATGTATCTCATAGCAGGAGAATGTCTGCATTCACACACAAAATACCTATTGACAGTATACTGCGGGTGATTTGCCGGTCAGTCGCGAAACGTAATTACATTATAGCTGGCGTAGCGATCTAACACACGGAGCTTGAGCTAGTTTTGGTCAGAAAAACATTTTTGTGATGCTACGTTGCTAGCGTTTAAATATATCAACTACAATGTCAGCAGATGGCCTTACATGTTTGTCATGGCAGGAGAATGTCTGCAGTCACACACGGAATACTCATACAGTATACTCCGGTTTACCGTACATTGTGACCGTACATATACTGCATGTAGCTAACGAGGCTAGCTGTATGCTAGCGCAAAACAATGTATTCATGCAAGTTACATTGTATGGTAGCAGAATACCCGTATACGATTGCAATTATAAACACGTTATTGCTAGCCTAATATGAACCACTAGCTTTTGTTCATAGTAGTTTTATTACACTGCATTATAGTTGCCTTTCCTCCAAGCTAACGTTCATATCGTGTTAGCTACCAAGGTAAACAAAGCTAGGTTAGCATATTAGCAGGCAAGCTGTTCATTACACAACTACTACTAACGAATCTAAAACAACTAAGTTTCTCTAATATTTTGTGATTTGCATTTGATTTCGTCCAGCCAGATCCTGGCGGACAATCCATGACGGGGAAGGGATTCTACTACTACTGAGGCGTCGTGCTAAAAGGCACCGCACCGCACCGGCTGTGCGCAGGCAAGAGGAGGAGGAATGGATGATATACCGTGTATATATGTATATTTATGTTCATTTTGTACATTTCTAAAAATAAAGTTTAATGGAAATACTTAGTAGGCCTATCCTTTCTTCCCTGAATTCATATATAGCAAACCATGATTTGATTTCTCATCAAACAGTAGTAGTTTATAACGGGTAAAAATAACTTACTCTTTGTTATGAGAGTAGCTCGTAGGCCACAACGGAAAGACAAGGAGACATACACGAGTTTACAAAACCACGGCACATTTATTGTGGTAAATGCAAAGATAGGTGGTTGAGAGGATCGCAGAGTTAGTCTTCCTGCAGCCGCTTTGGAGAGAGACTGGGGCCGTAGTGTCCGGAGGTGTCCGTGATCGTGCTGATTAGCCTCTTCAGCTCCACCCCATCGTAAGACAAAGGCCCTGGGGCCGTCACACTCTTCTATAACAACAGTTAAAAATATATATGTATATAAAATATACCGCTGTACCGACGCCATGATAAGACTGATGTTACGCTGAGAGCAGCCGGGAAAAGCACTGACATGGGCGCAGCCTCTCTGGTGGTTGACTAATCAGAACGAGTGGCCGAGCTGACCAATCGGAGCACACTAGGCTCACAGGGAGGGGGGGGCAAGAGCTCCAACGAGTCGTTTAGTGGAGAAAGTGAATACTGCTGAATACACATGCTTGACAGAGATGCTGTATGCGAAACCAATGTGAGTTTGGAAAATTGCACAGTATAAATCTATTTTAGTATACCTCAACAATGTAATTATGATCAGTGGAAATGGCCATGACATGGGCCCTTTAACATGAAGTAACATTAAGTAACCCAAAATGTTAAACAGTAGAGTAGTAGTCATATTTCGTGAACCCTTTGAAGAGTACTGTCACCGGTGTGATCATTCTATAATACACAATTTAAGCCCGGGGGAGAAATGCTAACGCTAACGCTAGCATCGACAATCGGCGATCTTTTCTACTTCATGCTATCTGCACAAATGGTTGAAATTAAAAAGACCAGGCAGTTCAGAGAGAATCAAAGGAAGGCAGGCAGGCAGCTTTGCATGACATTCTTCAGGACGTGTTTCATTGTGGTGATAGTGAGGATAGTCAATCGTTTTGTTGACAAGACAGTAGTGACGGCCATCTTGGTGACATGTGTTGTTGACCAGAGATGTAGTTCATTGAGCGTTTCACACAAACAAATGTGTTACTTCACAGTTTTACGACACATTTTATTTTTTTTGACTTGCAAAATTATCTTTTAAAATTGACAAACATCATATGTGCAATTCGTGGCACAATTCAAACGGGATCGAAAGATAATCTTTCTCTCTCCATTGACTTCAATTCATAATTTTTTCGAAAAAAGGTCCCATGGAGGTCCACCGGAAGGGGAGGGACTTCGCCACTCTATAGAGTGGCGAAGTCCCTCCCCTTCCGGTGGACCTCCATGGGAGAGAAAGAAAGATTATCTTTCGATCCCGTTTGAATTGTGCCACGAATTGCACATATGATGTTTGTCAATTTAAAAGATAAATTTGCAAGTCAAAAAAAATAAAATGTGTCGTAAAACTGTGAAGTAACACATTTGTTTGTGTGAAACGCTCAATGAACTACATCTCTGGTCAACAACACACTGACTGACTGCCTTTTGTTATGTTTGTTTCTACTCCTGTTCTTTTTAAAGCGACCTTGGGTCTCATGAAAGGCGCTATATAAATCCAAGTTATTATTAATACATCATTGGAACGGTAAGAATCTCAGCTACAACACTGACTAAAGCCTTCCCATCTCCAGTATGCCTACATGACAAGCATTTTTATAATATACAGTAAACATATCTTTGACTTATTGCAAAATTATAAAATGAAATTCACCCCTGCTGTCATTCTGGCTTTGACTGTTCAAATGAGATGTCAACCATCAAAATGGGGTAAGGGGTTCCAGAAATACTGTGCAAAACACATCGGCCAATTTTGACCGATAATAGTATGGGAAGGGGGGTATGACCGAACGCAAGAGAAGAGACAATCATCAAGCCAGATACCAAGGTATTTACAACAGGCAACCACTTCAATTACTTTTCCTTTATGGTATTGTTATTTGGTTTTTATTAGTGCTTTTGTCGTTTTGAAGGAAATTAAAATACTGTATTGAGTTGGTTTCTTCTGTTTTGGAAGCCTTGTATATCTTTTTCGTCTTGTTAGAAATACCCCATGGTAAAACTGTGTTCTAGCAGCAGTTAAAGAAGCTTAGTTTGCTGTCTTAGACTGCCAGATGTATTAAGATGGTTTGTTCACAATTTACACATAAAACCTAAATGTTCATCTGTTTATTGTTCTTCCTTTATATTCAAAGCATGTTGATTGTCTATTGGCTATATCTTGACATAATGTTAATTTGATCATACTTGCCATACATTTATTTTAATTGATGCGATTCCTCCAAAGGTTTTGTAATAGACCCCTAGTACTTTTAATTTATAAAGTAATAATACATGTGATAATACACTCATTAGTGGCCTGACTGGCCCTCCTAATTTGTTCCTTAATGACCCCATGATGTGATTATGTATATCTTAAAACCTTTAACAACTATATTTAGATGTTCACAAATATCTACATTTATGTATAAAATACATGTGTAGCAGTTAGACAAACATAATCAATAGATTATCTCATTAATACCTATTTTATATATTAAAAAAAAGTTTACTAAACCACCGTTTGTTGACAAAATGATTTGGGTTGAAAGTTATACTGTTGTGTCTCAAACGGATAGACTAGGTTATTAATTTATTTGCCTAATAGTTGCTTAAAATGCTACAATAACATTTGCAATTCGTTTTTAATCTGCCATGTACGGTAATGTCTCTCAGCCACCGTAGTGTCGTGTCAGGTGGGCGTGTCGTGTAGGGGGCGTGTCGTGTAGTGTCGTGTACTGGCCGCGGCCGCAGCTAGATCATATTGCACTCTATAACACTTGACAAACCTGTTCTGTGTAGCCGGACTTCCGGATTCAAAAGGGCGTCCAGTAGCTTCTGTTGTCGCTGATTCTCCTTTAAAGTTGACTCCAGTTCCTCTGCTATCGTCCTCTCGAACAGCTCGAATATCTCCTCAGCAGCTGCAGTGAGCCGCTCGTTGACAAAAGCTCTCAGCGTTTCAACTTTAGACATGTTTTTATCAAATCACAGCAACTTTTCCTCCAGTGAAAGCTGTGTTGCTAGGCTACGTTCTCGTCCGTCTCGAGCTAGAAAGCTAACATCCTTAGCTTCGTGGGGGAGATATTCCAGATATTTCTTAAGCAATAAACACCACATACTCCATTAAGATAGGTGTGTTTTGACGGTTCCCCCCCCCGCAAATAATACAGTTTGGTCTCTGCAATGAACGCTGTGTAGTCAAGTTCCGTCACCGTCTATGTGGAGCTAGCGCGCTAAGCTAACTTCCGCTAGCATTCTTAACTCCATGGATTTTTGCTCAATTCCAAACCGCCACCTACACACTACCCCTCAGTTTGCGTGTTCTCGCAACATTAAGTGCTGTTCCAAACCAACGAGTGATGAGGGGGAGTGGGTTATAACCTATAGTTATAACTTATAAAGCCCTTCAACAGCGAGTCTGCATCACCTGCTGCTCCCATGGATTTGCTCCATCTGAAAGGACTCACCGCTGGGTGTGTCCGTCAGGAAACAAGCTGCTTTCAAATAGTTCCGCCAAACAAGATAGACATGTAGGCCCAACTCCAAACCACACCCTACCCACTCCCACTCGAAACTCACAGCTAAATGAGTCTCCCTCCTATCAGATGGAGGGTCTAAAAACAGCAGCAAGCTTTGGGACAAACTCCTCTCTCTCTCTCTCTCCGGCATCTCTTGGACAACAATTCTAAATTAATAACTAAAATAAAAATAAAACTCCAAAAATCTTTAATTTAGTTTTAAGCCTGATGTTTATAAGCTTCTTAGTTTTTGCAACAGTCTATAAATATACACAACTTTATAATAAAATGCACACATGTACCTTTTTCTAGACTAAACACAATCCTAAGTTTAAAAAAGATGAGGTTTCCATGAAGCTATTAACATTGGTATTACAATTTCAGATGAGAAAGCAACACATTTGAAATAATATGGAATTTAACAGTTTACAGAGGACTTCTGCACCAAAACAGTATTGTTCTTAAATACAACTAATAGTTCAGACTTCAGACAGGCTGCCCTCCATTTTGAGGACGTAGCCATGAAGGCTCCGAAACCAGTAAAGGGAAAAAGTTCACATTTATTGGACTCTCGGATGTTTAGTTTTCCTGATATAACAGTATATAACTGACTAAATAATAATAGAGCCTGGTTTTAACACTCACCCTGTTGTTTTCCTCCTGCTCTGTCGAAGAGAGAAATGGTATGGCAAGCCGATTTAGCTTTTATTCAATTCTGGAGGATATCAAAAAATCTATTCTTAGTAGTAATAATGTTTATTTCTGATATCAAAAATGTAATGTTAACTAGTTAGAATGTGAATTCTTGATATCAGAAATTCTATTTGTATTTATAACTAGTAACAATTGAATTCCTGATATCAAAACAATTATTTTTTAACTAGTTCGAATTGTATTTCTGATATCAACAATTGGCATTTCGACTAGTTGAAATGTAATTACTGATATCAGAAATTGGTATTTGAACTAGTTCAAATTCCAACTCCCATTTGAAATGAATGAGAAAAACGATGCAAATCTCATAGTTAAAGGTAGGAATGGAGAAACCAGCTCGAGTGTGCTAGAATTTGAAAGTACACAACCGAAATAAATCTGCCCCTTCCTTCAGACTTCCTTACAGAGCCCCTACTCCAACACACACGAACGCACACATGACCAATGAGGGCACGAGATAAGTTTGTGCACAAGATGGAAGGCTGACAGGCAGGTAGGCCATCCAGTTATTTAGCCGGGCCGGCTCAGATGATTGGTCGTGCTTTTTACAGTACTACGGCTTCCACAGATGACATGTTTTGTATGTATTTATTGTCAAAGCTTTTCATATATTCACTGCTATCGGGATGTTAAGAGCATTCCATGGAATATAACAAAAAGTGTTTCTGAAGTGAATTACCTACCCCACCTTTAAAATCGCATTTCTGATATCAGAAATACACATTACAACTAGTTACAATTTAATTTTTGATATCAAGAATTTGCATTCTAACTAGTTAAAATTCAATTTTTGATATCAGAAATAAACATTATTAGGCTACTAGTAAGAATAGATTTTTTTTTTTATCCTCCAGAAATGAATAAAAGCTAAATCGGCTTGCCATAAAATGAACTTCTTACTTTCACTTTCAAAGTCCCTCCCTTTTGCAGCTCCTCCCTTTGTTTTTAACAACAAAACTGTTTCCCCTCACTTGCTCTCAGAGTTACACAGCTCCAAGAAGACGTTCCTGGAAGCTAGATATAGATAACTAAATACAAATCCAGTTTTTGATATGAAAATGTGTTTTATCCTCTCCTTTGCTCTCTTATTTACACCCACTTTGTATTTATTAGGTGCTGTCAATGGATTCATTTCTCACAATAACAATAAAAAACAAGCTGAAATCCTTTGAAGAGGTAGAAAGGGACTCCGTTTATTGAAAGTGGAAACAAATCAACATATAAAAATCTCAGAAATCACAGGAAACAAATGTACAGTGACTTCAACTCAGATACATTCTTTGCAAGTCAAACTCTCTGGGTTTTCTTTTCAACAACGTTCTCCAAGTCAACCGGCCGTTTAAAGTTGTACTTTCAGGTGTTTTCAGAATAAAATATGAAAACATTAGATCAAAATGTCTGCAGGACAGCACTGATTCGATAAGAAAGCATTTCAAAATGATGCCAAACTATTTTACGTTTCATTTTAACGCTATTTAAGTGTTTTTTCAAGACTTGCAGACACCCTGATTTAATTTGTAGAGTTGTCATTTTTCATAAGATTCTTTTTCCAGATACATTTAGCGAATAATCAGTAAAGAAAAATGTAAATAACCAGAAGGAATCAGATGTTTATCCTCTGAAGCTGGGGGTTAAAACAGATTGTACTCGGGTAATAAACAACACACCACAGAACATATCATGCTCTCCGGGAATGTCAAACAACACACACAAGGTTCAATCCCACTGCACACACACTTAACATTTGACAACATATACAAAGAAGGGGCCCTTTGAGGACATAAGGCCTCAAGAAAAGACATTCATATGAGCACATTTGTTCTTAACTGGCCTGTTATTCAGGAGATTTCATCAACAGAGCTTGTTTTACCACTTAAAGGTGGGGTATGTAATTTTGGAGAAACCAGCTCGATTGCGCTGGAATTTGAAAGTACACAGCCGAAAAAAATCTGCCCCTTCCTTCAGACTTCCTTACAGAGCCCCTCCTCCAACACACACGAACGCGCACATGACCAATGAGGGCACGAGATAAGTTTGTGCACGAGATGGAAGGCTGACAGGCAGGTAGGCCATCCAGTTACTTTAGCCGGGCCGGATCAGATGATTGGTCGTGCTTTTCACAGCGCCACGGCTTCCACAGATGACATTTTTTTATTGTCAAAGCATTTAATGTATTCATTGCTTTTCTGGATGTTAAGAGCATTCCATGGAATATAACAAGTGTTTCTGAAGTGAATTACCTACCCCACCTTTAATTTATATTATTTGTAGTTAAAATTCCCCAAATCAGGGCAAAAAAAGAAGAATTAAAGTCTGGAGCAACGCTAATAGCATGTGAGGCTGTATGTAAACCCAGCTAAATGCTAACATGCTTATGTTTACCATGGTATTAGTTTAGCGTGTTAGCATGATAGCATTGGCAAATTCGCAATTAACATCAATTCTTTTGGAGATCTTTAGTCAAAATCTGAAGTATTAAACAAATAAATCCCAACGATTGATCAATATTTCTACCCGCAGAGCTATGGCTAATAGAAATACCATTAGCTTCAATAATGCTAAATACTGGAGTGTGTTGGCATGACAACTTATACAATCCTTGATGTCTGACAGAAAAACTTCACACTTGGAGTTAAAGTTTTTGTGTGATCATTTCGACCCCAAAAAATGAAGAATAAAAGTCTGAAGCAACGGTAGTAGCATGTGAGGCTGTATGTCAACGCAGCTAAAATGCTAACATGCTTATGTTTAGCATGGTATTAGCTTAGCGTGTTAGCATGCTAACATTGGCAAATTCATACTTAAAACAAAGATCTGCTGAGGCTTATGGGAATGTCATTTGTTTTGCCGTTATTTTAGACATTATTCGAAGTATTAGATCCATTTATTCTATCGATATTTCAACCCGCAGTGCTACGGCTAATAGATATACCATAGCTTCAATGATGCTAAATACTGGAGTGTTTTTGGCATGACAACTTTTACAATCCTTGATGTCTGACAGAAAAACTTCACACTTGTTTTCGAGACATTTTTCTGAATGAAACGTAAAACAGGTTGCCTTATAAAGGTTGTATTCGTCACATTTAAACACGTTATTTACGACACGTTTGTGCAGTTTTTGATGAAGACCTCAACAAACAAATAAAGACAGGAAAATAATCACTTCTGCAGAAAACCCAATTGTGCTATGACTTTCAACTTGTAGAAAAGTTGGATCTAAAGATATAAAACATTGCAGTGTTTGATTTATGATTTTTGATTTTTTTAAAACCATTGGTTCCTAAAATACTAAAAAAGGAAATTAATTGATATTAATCACTCTAAGCTTTAAAGATCCACACAGTGTGTTTTAGTGAGAAACTCCAACTGAAGGCTTTAAAACTTAAAAAAACAAACTCCACAGGACATTTTAAAGAAGGATATTTGATTTATATGGATGCAAACCAGGGTTTCTGTTATCCGACATATTTCTCAATCTCTCCGTTTTCTGTGATTCTCATCAGATTTAAATTTGGATCTTATTCGTGTTAAATAACACACACACACACACACACACACACACGCACACGTATGGATGTTAATGCACGTACAAGGACATATACACACTCTCTTTCCTCTCCCTCCCACCCACCCACCCACCCACACACCCACACACACACACACACACACACACACACACCATATTTTTTTTCAAATCCTCTAGACATTGTATTCTAACAGAAACCCTGATACAAACAGAGAGCCAGTTAAATTATAGATTATACAAAAATAAAGATCAAACCAGAGCAGCTATAGTCAGAGAAGTTGTTTCCTCACTTAGTAATGTCTGTCGGCAGCAGCTGCTTTTAGAAAATCCAGCATCTTCACGAGCAAATCAACAAAAAAAAACCTTCAGACTCGGGCTGAACGATTTGGAATAAATAACCAACTATGATTATTTTGACTGATATTGCAATTGTGATATGATTTATGATATTGGAGGGAACCTCATTGTAATATATATTAAGTTGAATGACTACTTTGATTTTTCTAAAGGGGCTTTATTCTGCTCTTCCTCTCCTGGGACATGTCTCCATGCTTTGATGTTCAAAAGCTCTTTATTGTTCTCATACTACCTGTGCTGCAGCACCTCTTTTCACCCTCTGTCTGAAACCAGAGCTGCTCTGATTGGTTAGCGGGCCGGCTCTTTTGTGATTGGTCAACCAGCTTAGAGATGTCCCGCCCCTTAGCCTATCACGTGCAATGTGTTGGAGCTCAAGCCAATAGGAGGGTGAATGTTCTATAGTCAGGGGTGCACATAACTGGTACGCAGGTACGCATGCGCGGCAACAATCTGAAATGCGTACCGTCACTTGTGTCACAAAGCGCAACGTAAATGTGAAGCTTTTCCAGAAGGCGGTTAGTTCACCGGACGACAGAGTCGGTCTCCGTGTGCACAGACAGGGCTGCTGTTAACGTCGGTCTGTACAGCAGCCCTGCGCTAAAACAGCTGATCACAACGTTCACACGCGCCGCGGTCACGAAGCTCTGTACTCTACTGACGCCACCCCCCCGTTGACAATCGCGAAGCGGTGTACTCCACTGACGCCACCCCCCCCCCCCCGTTAACAATGGTCAGAAGTTGGAGTACCAAACACTGACTCCAGGTAAGGTACTCATCTGAGGACCTCACTGAGAAAGTTGTGTGCACCCCTGTCTATAGTGATGTTAGATGTTATATAGTCATGCACACAAACCTATAGAAAACACTACAGGCAAGAGGAAACCCCCAAATGCAGAATATAGGGCCCCTTTAAGAGGATCTGTACCAAACAAATATGCAGCTCCACATTTTCCTTTTGCAGCTGCTTCCGATTTAATTGTAATAATTATTTATATCTCACACCGAACTGTGACTTTGTATTTTATACCTGTCTTATTCTATCTTAGCTCGGTACAAAATGTTTTCAATGTCATGTCACTACATTGTAATGCTTTCTGTGTTTGTACAGCACTTTGAATTTCTTGTCAATCACAATTACATCACACACTGTAATCTATGTTTGTTGATCTGTAGAGCCACAGGTGTGTTTGATATTGTGCTGTATAAATAAACTTGCGTTGCTTTACTTCATTCATACATTTTTACATATTTACCCTTATAATATTGTGCTAAATGCAATGTGATTACTGCACTGATCCAAGTTGCGATTTCCCCATAAAATGATGATGGATTGAGCAGATGATCCCCGGGTCTGAATCTGCTGCCTTTGAACACTTCCTCACATCCAGCAGCAGCGTTTGATCGTTAAGGGGGGGGGGTTAACACCTGAAGCCCCGCCCCCCCCTGACGGAGACCTCTCTCTGGGCTCTGAGTCTCGAGGCAGACCCCCTGCTGTTCTCCCCCTGATAAGATAAGATAAGAAGAACGTTATTGATCCCAATGTGGGAAATGTTTGCGTTGCAGCATACAGTACAGCGACATGGCATTTGTACAATAACAATTAAAAGACTAAAAATAAACATTCCAACATTTAAACATCTCAATAGAAAGAAAATAGCTTTAAAACAAGTAGGGACATGTTCTGGTCTCCTCTATTGTTTTGTTTCCTTGTCTCCTACCTCCTTAATGTCTTCTCACTTCGTGTCCTTCCTCCCCTCACTAGCCCATGTTCTATTCTCTTCCTTGTCTCCTTCCTTGTCTCCTCCCTTGATTCCTCTCCTTGCTTCCTCCTATCTGCTTTCTTATTTCCTTTCCGATTTTCATCCCCATTCGTCCCATAGTCTTCTTCGTTTCCTCTTCTCTTATTTTGTTTCCTTTCCTTACTTCCTCTTATCTACTGTTTTGCCAGTCTCCTCCCTCCCTTGTCTCCTCCCTCCTCTCCTCCATCCAGGTTCAGATCCAGGGCTAGTCTCCTCTCTTGTTTCCTAATCTGTCCTTTTTGTTTCCTTCTCCTCCAGGAAGTATATTGGACTGTATTATTGTAATATGCAGGATGACCTTATATATAACCCATCTTTAATTCTATTTTTGTTATACCTTTGTTATTTACATTATCAGTGTTATTATTGATTTGATTTCTATACATTTAGTTTTTCATATTCTCATGTTGACATTTTAGGATATGAGACTTAAACATGTTGTGAGCCCTTGTTAAAGAAAGTGTTCAAGTGGAGGACGATTGTATGTAAAGGGGAATGTGAGAAAATAACTAATAATCAGAGGTGGGAAGTAGTGGAGTACAAATACTTCGTTACTGTACTTAAGTACATGTTTCTCGTATCAGTACTTTACTCCACTACTTATTTTTCTGACCACTTCTTACATGTTGAACCCAAATACCTGTACTTTCTACTTCTCACATGTTGAACTCAAATACCTGTACTTTCTACTTCTCACATGTTGAACCCAAATACCTGTACTTTCTACTTCTCACATGTTGAACTCAAATACCTGTACTTTCTACTTCTTACATGTTGAACCCAAATACCTGTACTTTCTACTTCTCACATGTTGAACTCAAATACCTGTACTTTCTACTTCTTACATGTTGAACACAAATACCTGTACTTTCTACTTCTTACATGTTGAACCCAAATACCTGTACTTTCTACTTCTTACATGTTGAACCCAAATACCTGTACTTTCTACTTCTTACATGTTGAACACAAATACCTGTACTTTCTACTTCTTACATGTTGAACCCAAATACCTGTACTTTCTACTTCTCACATTTCCCAAACAGGCTGGTTCCTTTAGTTTGAATGTGTGTTTGGTGGCGTGATCATTATTATTTAGAGTCATTGCGTGCCTATTGATTTGAACACGATCCGTGTATCCATCATTTCCTGGTCTTCTCTAAAGAAGAGGGACCAATGAAACGTTGTCATGTTGCCGTTGTTCAGCATGGAAACATTCATTAGCTAACAATGACATTATTGTTCTATTAATATAAAGGGAGGTCAGGTACTCTTTAAAACAGCTGCTAGTTATGGGTACTTTTTACTGAAGTACATTTCAAAGCCCTCTTTACTTTGACTTGAGTAAAGAAGTTTAGTCAGTACTTCTACTTTCACCAGAGTATTTTTAAACACGAGTGTCTACTTCTACTTGAGTAAAGGATGTGTTTACTTTTGCCATCTCTGGTAATTGACGGACAGCTCGTCAGACGGAGAACTCGGCCCCCCCCCTCCAGGAGCGGCGGGGCAGCAGGGTTGGTAGTTTGAGTCCGGCGAAGGGGTTGATCCACCGCAGAGAGGGCGGCCCCCCCCCAAAGACAGAGCGAAGCCCCGCCCAGCGAGTCTGACGCTCCCAGGTGGGCTTCTCGTTCTTCAGACGCTCGATCTCCTGCACACACACACACACACACACAGAGAGAGACAGACACACACACAGAGAGAGAGAGAGAGAGAGAGAGAGACAGAGACAGAGACAGAGACAGAGACAGAGACAGAGAGAGAGAGAGAGACAGAGACAGAGACAGAGAGAGAGGGACACACACACACACACACACACACACACACACACACACACACACACACACACACACACACACACACACACACACACACACACACACACACACCACACACACACACAACACACACACACACACACCACACCACACACACACACACACCACACACACAACACACACACACACACACACACACACACACACCACACACACACACACACACACACACACACACACACACACACACACACACACACCACACACACACACACCACACACACACACACACACACACACACACACACACACCACACACACACACACACACACACACACACACACACACACACACACACAAACACACACAGTCAATGGATATCTTTTTCAATTTAAACAGTAAAAATTGCCTTTTTTTGGGGACATGTCATTCCGTGCTCACCGTCTCGTCGTTGCAGATGGAGTGCAGCTGAGTGCTGAACATCACAGCGGTGAAGGTGAAGAAGAGGAGCGACTCCATGCAGAGGAAGATCATCAGAAGCATGGTCACCGGAGGAGAGAAATCACTGCACTCTGGCACGGAAACACACGGTGACATCAGACGACCATTGTTCAAATAACTAATATACAGAACAGTGAATAAAGAGGAACAGAGTCTGTGCGCTCACTTTTCACATCGACACAGACTCAAGGTTTTAAACCTGAACTGAGACTATTGCACCTTAAATAGTACAAAAATGAACAACTACATTCTACAAAATGAGTGTGTATGTCTTCGCCTCGGACATCTCTCTGGGCCATTTTCATTTGCTTCTCAGTCTCTTCACACATATTTCTTTACATATTTATTAGAAAATCACCAACGAACACTTTTGAGCATTTGCAGATTATATAAAACATTTCCTGATTCTGGTCAAATATAGTTCAAAATGAGTTCTCCCAGATAATTACAAGATGTGATTTATCTAAATATCCCTTCTTATTTCAAGAAATCTAACCAAGCAAATGTTCACTTGTTCTATTGGCAGATTGTTGTACTTATTTCAAGTGAAAGCAGCTTGTTTTCATTATTGTTTAAAGGTGGGGTAGGTAAGTTTGAGAAACCGGCTCGAGACACACTTTTTGTTATATTCCATGGCCCGGCTAAAATAACTGGATGGCCTACCTGCCTGTCAGCCTGTCAACCTGTGCACAAACTTATCTCGTGCCCTCATTGGTCATGTGCGCGTTCGTGTGTGTTGGAGGAGGGGCTCTATAAGGAAGTGGCAGATTTTCCCCGGCTGTGTATTTTCAAATTCTAGCGCACTCGAGCCGGTTTCTCCAAAATGACCTACCCCACCTTTAACTTGTTTTTGGAGCAGCATTTGTTTCAGTGTGTGACGTTTGTATTTAGTTTTTGTCTTTGCTTGCTTTGTACAGCCCTTTGAGGCCTTTCTTGTGATTTGGGGCTATAATACATGTTGATTTGATTTGTCTCATAAGTGAGAGATAAAGTCAAACTGTAGTCAGAGTGAGCAGCAGGGTTCAGGACTCACCGCTCCACTGCACTTTGACGCAGGTGATGAACTGATAGCCGCAGAGAGCCAGAGCGTGACTGGAGATCACAGCGATGTACATCTGGAGGAAACGTTCACACGGTGTTAACATCGCACAGTCTGAGGGGTCAGTTTCAATCAGTTACAGGGTTTGACATGAAAGAAATTGGGTGCTATGCAGAAAAAGTGAGAGGCGAAATCACAAAAGATGGATTTTGGCCCGTGGACGCTCCATAAATAATGCAGCACTTGCCGGGGAGGAGCTTCAAGGTGCAGTTAAAAAATATATATTAAAGGTATGATATTACATTAAAATCACAGTGATATCGTTTTGCAGCTAAATGCAATTTGCACTTTTTTTTGCAAAGGTCGAGTGATGACATTAGTTGACTGTTTGTTTATACCAGCGGTTCCCAACCTGAAGGCTTTGCAAGTGGGCCGCCAAATAATTTGCAAAACATTATAATTTGTGTGGAAACATTTCATTATTACGATTTATTTTGTATTTGAACCTCTTTTCCTTTCTCTTTCTCGATCCTCCTTAGCAACGGCCATTACTGTCCTTGTCTGTTCTACTGGATTAACAATGTGTCACATGTTCTGAATCGACCAATCAGAACCGAGTATTCAACTAAACCGTGTAATAAAAATGTCTGTTTGTTACTGATGAGTCACACACACACACTCACAGCCAGGCAGAGAAAAGATAAGGCTGAGTGAGTGTGTGTGCCGTTACGTCACTATACCCGTCACGTCACTATACCCGTCACGTCACTATACCCGTCACGTCACTATACCCGTCACGTCACTATACCCGTCACGTCACTATACCCGTCACGTCACGTCACTATACCCGTTACGTCACTATACCCGTCACGTCACTATACCCGTTACGTCACTATACCCGTCACGTCACTATACCCGTTACGTCACTATACCCGTCACGTCACTATACCCGTCACGTCACGTCACTATACCCGTCACGTCACTATACCCGTCACGTCACTATACCCGTCACGTCACTATACCCGTTACGTCACTATACCCGTCACGTCACTATACCCGTCACGTCACTATACCCAGGAAGAAAACAATGGAAAAAGAGAAATGTCCAACGAGGCGTTCTGGGGCAGCATAGACAGGTCTTCTCTGTGTTAGAGTTTTACTCGCTACAGGGTGTACTTTGAGGGTTTGTGACTCTGCAGACCGTTTACATGCAGAAAAACCTTCATAACACACAAGGGGACGGGTGATAACCAGAAAAGCGTGACATGGGACCTTTAAAAGATAACAGTTATATATATTTGTGCGGGTTAATCAGCCACAAAAGCAGCGCCGTCCTTTTTGTGAAAGTGTCCCTGAGAAACGTCTCTGTAGTTTTATTCTTTGTCTAAACTCTAAAACACACTTTTCTAACTAGTAAACAAAGAGCTACAGCTTTATAATCTACACACACACATTTTTCACCAGTTTTGATTCGTCAGTCGGATGAAGACTGAGTTTTTCCAAGAGCCAGGATTTAGAAAAAGGAAAATATGAAAGTCATTTCGCCATTAAACAACATTTGTAGAGATGTAACAACCCTAAAAACGAGATGTCATGTCTCAAATAAAGCATGTTTTATGGTATTTAAATAATGAATAGCCGATATGAAATAACCACATGGTAAAGCCTTTTTCTATACTGCTTTATGAATTAAATACTCGTCTAATGAGAGTATTATAGTACGTTTTGAAAAGAACTTCAGTGTTTTTTCGTAGAGAAATATATATATAGTTTATGTTTGTGAGCCATCTTAAAGGGATATTCCCCTAAAAATACGATATAATCATATAATAATAAAAATATATGGATATAAATGATAATCCTTGTAATCAATCCACAGTAATAGTTCATTGGAATCATCAGAGGCACTAAAACAAAAACCCTTCCTGTTAGAAACACTTGTGTTATCGTTGACGTGTGTGTAAATCTGTCTGAATAATACAATCAGATTAGTGTGGGGTCAAAATCATTGGATGTACTCACGGTGAAGAGGACGAAGAAGCGCTGGTTTTTCTCACCAACACAGTTATTCACCCAGGGACAATGGTGGTCCATTTTACGGATACAGCGCTTACAGATACTGCAGAAGAAGAAGGAGAAATGACATCTTTATTTCCCTAACTTAATAAGCGTCACCTCAGATGCCTCTTTGCAGGGGTGTCAAACTCAATTTCATCGCGGGCTATATAAATATATAATATAAAAAAATGTATTATATTACATGATTGCCTCTGCTTTGGATTATTATCAGAGAGGGTAATAACTTCATTATTAACTACGTCTGAAAGCAGAAGTCTAGGGCAAATAATTGCAAGTCTCTTCAGTGCGCATGTCACAAAATGAGATGCATTGTGGGACATGTAGTTTATGGGCAACGTGCTTCTGTAAAGCGGGACGTAATGCATTTACTTGAGGTCTAAATATTTGCCGTGAGTAAACAATCAAAAGGGATCTCTTTAATTAAACCGACATGATGCTGTTTTAAAAACACATCTCTAATCCCGTGTGACAAATTGTGAAAGGGCCCAGAGGCAGATGCATCCTTCTAGGAATACAATCTGGGAAGTAGTGGAGTACAAATACTTTGTTTCTGTACCTAAGTACTTTCTACTTCTTACATTTTGAACACAAATACCTGTACTTTCTACTTCTTACATGTTGAACACAAATACCTGTACTTTCTACTTCTTACATGTTGAACACAAATACCTGTACTTTCTACTTCTTACATTTTGAACTCAAATACCTGTACTTTCTACTTCTTACATGTTGAACACAAATACCTGTACTTTCTACTTCATACATGTTGAACACAAATACCTGTACTTTCTACTTCTTACATTTTGAACCCAAATACCTGTACTTTCTACTTCTTACATGTTGAACACAAATACCTGTACTTTCTACTTCTTACATGTTGAACCCAAATACCTGTACTTTCTACTTCTTACATGTTGAACCCAAATACCTGTACTTTCTACTTCTTACATGTTGAACACAAATACCTGTACTTTCTACTTCTTACATGTTGAACACAAATACCTGTACTTTCTACTTCTTACATGTTGAACACAAATACCTGTACTTTCTACTTCTTACATGTTGAACCCAAATACCTGTACTTTCTACTTCTCTCATTTTCCAAACAGGCTGGTTCCTTTAGTTTGAATGTGTGTCTGGTGGCGTGATCATTATTATTTAGAGTCATTGCGTGCCTATTGATTTGAACACGATCCGTGTATCCATCATTTCCTGGTCTTCTCTAAAGAAGAGGGACCAATGAAAACGTTGTCATGTTGCCGTTGTTCAGCATGGAAACATTCATTAGGTAACAATGACATTATTGTTCTATTAATATAAAGGGAGGTCAGGTACTCTTTAAAACAGCTGCTAGTTATGGGTACTTTTTACTGAAGTACATTTCAAAGCCCTCTTTACTTTTACTTGAGTAAAGAAGTTTAGTCAGTACTTCTACTTTTACCAGAGTATTTTTAAACACGAGTATCTGTACTTCTACTTGAGTAAAGGATGTGTGTACTTTTGTCCTCTCTGACCACTAACACTGAGGATATTTTGATTCTACATAAATAACACTTTGCAATGGACGTTAACTAAAGTGTCGGAGAAGACTAAGAGCATGCTCTGTATCCCCAGTCAGGGCTGAAGTTGCTCTGACCTGCAGTGATGCGCTCTCTCCGGTTTGATGCTGCAACATTTTGCACATTTGTAGATGATCTCGCCCGGCTTCAGCTGCAAACTCTCCACGTATTTCTTCGTGGCGTTTCCTTTCGGAACGGCTCCCTGAGGAGAGGAGGGAGGAAACATGGGCGATGAAAAAATAGAAACATCTAAAGACACTGACAAGATAAGATGGAGCTTTATTAATCCCTGTGAAATTAAAGATGCAATTCAAATGATATACAGTTAAAGTGGACCTATCATGCTATATTTGAATAATATAGTGTAGGACCATACCTATATAAGGCATATTTATACTTTTTTTTTTTTCAAAATACCAAACAGATCATGCATTTTAGCCATGCCTCATTTTGCTCAATTTGACATTTTTTAGCTCCTTTTAGCAAGGGCAGATTCAGTGAGAACAGCACCATCTACTGGCCTGGCATATGTACTACAGCGTCTCCAGCGCTTTCGAACGACAATGGCCGTGGCTGTCTCCTCCTGATTGGTGGAGTTGGCCCAATAGCCGTAGCGCCACCGTCCTGACGTCAGGACAGTGTTCAAATCTGGATCAGTTTTTATCAGATCCGTTGCAGCCCCTTTTTTAGAGATTTGGGTATGGAGGAAAATAGAGAGGGTTGTGTTTTCTGACACTTGGTGAGTTCCCTGGAACACCGGGGACACATATTCATGTAGAAAAGACGTACAAAAGTGCATTTTGCATGATAGGTCCCCTTTAAGTAACTTTTAAAATAAGAAATGACATGGTCTCTCAGTGAGCGCGATATTAGGTTCCATGTCTGTTTTCTTATGAGATAAGATGGACCTTTAATTCAGTAGTTTTAACAGCAACAGGGTGAGAATGAAAAACAGGACAGATTCGCACAGAATAAAGATAACATTACAATTATATACAGTTAAGTAACTTTAAAATAAGAAATTAGTTATACATATATACATATTAGATATATTTACATGTATGTGTGCCGGTAAACAGTTATTGTGAAAACAGCAGTCCAGCTAAATGGATGTGATAGTTATGGTTTGTGGTGAGGTGCTTTGAGAGTTAGGACCTTGAGGGCTAAATTATAACTCAGAGCTTCACATTTATTTTTGTTGCTGACAGAGTTTATTGATTTTTTATCTTCAGAGCCTATTGTACATTTGTAATGCTGCTTTAATTCTATTTTGAGATGTTTAAATTCTAGTATTGTTCATTTCTACTCTTTACTTTCTACTTATGTGCAATGCCTTGTTTTGGTTAGTAGTTGTGTTACGCTGCTGCAACGCAAACATGTCTCTTCTACATCAACATGTGTCCCCTCTTCTTCATGTCTCTTCTACATCAACATGTGTCCCCTCTTCTTCATGTCTCTTCTACATCAACATGTGTCCCCTCTTCTTCATGTCTCTTCTACATCAACATGTGTCCCCTCTTCTTCATGTCTCTTCTACATCAACATGTGTCCCCTCTTCTTCATGTCTCTTCTACATCAACATGTGTCCCCTCTTCTTCATGTCTCTTCTACATCAACATGTGTACCCTCTTCTTCATGTCTCCTCTACATCAACATGTGTCCCCTCTTCTTCATGTCTCTTCTACATCACCATGTGTCCCCTCTTCTTCATGTCTCTTCTACATCAACATGTGTCCCCTCTTCTTCATGTCTCTTCTACATCAACATGTGTCCCCTCTTCTTCATGTCTCTTCTACATCAACATGTGTCCCCTCTTCTTCATGTCTCTTCTACATCAACATGTGTCCCCTCTTCTTCATGTCTCTTCTTCATCAACATGTGTCCCCTCTTCTTCATGTCTCTTCTTCATCAACATGTGTCCCCTCTGTGGAAAGAGACTCTGAAAGTTTCAGGAACAAAGATTCTCTCTCTCTTTGTCCTGATCCATTTCTATAAAAACCTGTCTGAAAATGAGCTGATCAGATTTTGGTCACTTGATGATGTCATAACGATGTTTTGACTTGTGTAACCATGAGCCAATCAGCAACCAAGGTAACCCCCCCCCCTTATCACCTGAGTCTCCTCCTAGAGCACCATTGAGTTCTTTGTAACCAAGTCTCTCTCAGAGGGGCGTGGGGAGGGGCTCCTTATTTTCATCTAAAGTAACAGACAGAGAATCAGCACTTTGGAAACAGGGCTAAAACAGAGGGGATTATGGGTAATGCTGCAATGATCTGTTTGGTGTTTCAGCCAATCAGAGACAGGTTCTGTATATATCTGAGACCTGTGATATATTGATGAAAGACAGTATAATAGGGGACCTTTAAATCAAAAGCCTCCTCTTCCTCACCGGGTCTGTCAGCATGGCTCTCAGATGGGATGCGAGTGCCAGCACTGCCAGGCTGTTGAACAGAACCCCGTTGATCACGGCGTACCAGAAGCTCCTGGAGGGCAGCAGCATGACGAAGGTGACCACGAAGTCAGCGTAGAACACGAGGAACCAGGTGATGAAGGCGCACACTATGCCACAGCAGTCTGGGATGAACCAAAGTCTCTTCGTCTCACCGAGGGGAATCCTCTCCACCTCCTTCACATCTTGCTCCTCCTCCCCGACCAGCAGGGGGCGCTGCTGCTCAACGTCCCGCAGCCGGTGGCCTGAGGACATCCTGGAGGAAAAACAAAGTTGTGTAGTTATGAGTCAAACAACGGAAAAAATCAAGAACAGCAAATGTTGGGAAAATCCTGAATGTCCTCTTCCAATATGAGAGTAACATGATGACAAAGGTATCCCAACTGCGCGGCGGCGGAGGGGCTGTGTGTGCCTACAGAAGGTCCAGTTGTGATAGACACGGTTCGCCACTGCCATTCATGCATAGAAGGCCACACCCGGCTACACTGGCCTACACACCAAGAACAAACCCCTCTGGACCACACACGCGAACGATGACGCCTGACACCCCACAGCAACAAACCTCTTTTTCATACAGGCAGACACTGTTTCAAGAGCACTGAGCTTCAGTTTTTTGTTACACTTTATGTTCAAAGAAAGTCTGGAAGTGGGTGCAGCCAATTTTATTTTGTATTCCACAGTTTGAACATTGGAGAATCACATTTTTTTTTACATTTTTTTTTTTTTGCTAGCCAAGGTGTTTTATTTTCTGTTACTGTAAACATGTGTACACGTCTTGTCTTTCATGTAAGGGTCAATGTACTACACAAGCCCTCTCCTCACTCTCTTTCCCTCCCGCTCATCACAGTCAGTGAGATATCTCTTGCTCTGTGTGGGAGGCTGTAAGTCCTTTTCACCTTGTATTGCTCCCAACACAGAGTGATCATCCACAGCCTCCTTACTGGCCAAGTCGACTGATAAAGCAGTGAGCTTCAGGTGTTTGCGTTGTACGCCAAGAACCCGGACCCATTTCTAGTTTTGGGGAAATTAAGGGGAACATAATGTTTATTTTTTTAATCGATTATTTGACAGGGACAATGCACAGTAATGAACACTTAATACATTCAAATGTATCAAGCGTAACAGTGCCAGATTTAGCTTTGAGCTCATTTCCATCCGCAGTCCCTCACAAAAAACATTTAAGACTGGACTTCACAGTCTCCTCTGGTTTCTGACCTAGTGCAGCGTCCAGTGTGTTTTCTGTGGATGAATTCCTCTAAGGGAGGGAGGGAGGGAGGGGGGGGCAGTCCATGTAAACATTTATAAAAAAACACATACTTTTAAAAGACTTAAAATGCTCAAAACTTAAGAAATTGTGTTTATCATGAGATAAAATAAAGGCTAACGCTGTATAAGGAACTTTCCAGAACATTTAAAGTTCATGTGACACCCGTCATATATATATATATATATATATATGATACTGCGTTTGCACATTTGTTATTTGTTGCACTTTATGTTCAAAGAAAGTCTGGAAGTGGTTGCAGCCAATTTTATTTTTAATTTCACACTTTGAACATTGGAGAATCACATATTTTTTAGCTTAATGTTACATGCATTAAAAAGTACTAAGTTAAAAAAAAATTATGATATAATACAAAATAAAAAGTTACACAATTTACAAAATACACATCCTGTAGTAGTTCTTAGGATTTAGCAGCCAGGTATATATTGTACAGTTATTAACGGCATATATATATTTTGCACATATAGCACATAGTTGGTTGGTATTTAACAGCAGCCTGTCGCTGAAGGAGCTGCACAGTGAGGACAGGGAATGTAACAAAGAATGTTTATCAGATCTTAATAAAAACCTTCCAAAAAAAATAACAGTCTGTCTCTCATGTAGTCCTAAGGGTCAATGTACGCCGTAAGCACTCTCCTCACTCTCTTTCCCTCCCCCTCATCACAGTCAGTGAGATATCTATTGCACTGTGTGGGAGGCTGTAAGTCCTTCTCACCTTGCATTGTTCCTAACACAGACTGATCATCCACAGCCTCCTTACTGGCCTCACAAAAATTGTGGAGGACAAAGCAGGAGTAAATGACATGGGGCAGGTCATCCAAGTTTGTGTCCATAGGCCTTCTAAGTGCAGCAAATCTGGCCTTGAGGCGACCAAAAGCACACTCAATGACCATACGTGCACTACACAAAGTTAGCCCAAAGAACTGTTCCTGAACTGTGGCGCCACCGGTTGCATATTCCTTCATCAGGTACGGCAGCAGCGGGTAGGCAGGATCACCAAGAAGATAAATTGGTATGGCCTCCTCGTCGTCCACAATCTGTTTTTTCAGAGCAGGGATCTTTCCAGTCTCTAAGTACATGTTTAGCTTTGAATTAGCAAAGACCTGTGCATCATGCACACTCCCAGGCCACTTTACCACGACATCCATGAATCGGTACTTGTAATCACAGACGGCCTGTACATTAAGGGAATATGTGCCTTTCCTGTTGATGTAATCAGTGGGGTTGGTAGATGGCTGCTTGATTTCGATGTGGGTTCCGTCCACTGCTCCTAAACATTGTGGCATGTGATGAGCACGATGGAAGCCCTCAACCAGATCCGCGGTCTCGGGCTCAGTAAAAGGCAGCTTGATGTATTTTGGACCCAGGTGGATGGAGATCGCTCTGCATGTCTGCCTAATAATGAGGGACACAGCCGGGCGGGAAACTCCGAAGGCGGTAGCAGTCTTCCGCATCCTTCCCCCATCGCTCAGGTAATAAAGTATTAACGCAACCCTTTTCAGTGGATCAATTGGTGCCCTCATGTTTGTAGTTTGCCTTTCGATATATGGGCGCAGTTCTTCAGTCAGGGCGACGAGAGAGGCTTTGGACATGCAGAATTTCTCCCTCCATTCATCATCCACGACAACGCCATTGACAAAATTGTCCCACCAACTGCTGGTTCTGCCCGGTCTTACCCAAAACCTTCTCCTGGTCGCCCTTCTGGTTATTCCCCGCGGTGGATTTAGCAGCATGTTGATCATGTTGTTCTCCATGTCCACTTGTTGCTGATGGTTGTGGAAGAGGAGCTGTAGATTTTGCACTAACATCTGTAGCATGGTCAGTAGCGTCTGGAGCATCAAAGCAACCCTGTGATCTGCCATTGTTGTTGTTGTTGTTGGCGAAACACATCAGCAATGACGCGGGTGACGCGGGGGTGAGCAGCAGAGGTGGGGAGAGGCGGGGCTATGACGTCATCGTTATCAGGATATGATCGTATAGGGCGTACACACGGAGCCGTTTGCCCCCCCAGAGCGTTGCGTCCGCAGATCTACCCACCTTGGGAGCCGTTATCGTTATCCACTTTTCCGTGTCGGCCTCGTGTGGACGAACCGTCTATACGATAGAGAACTGTAGCGGATACAACCCGATTCGTCTCCGTGTGGCCGGGGCCTGAGGAAGTCATGCTGTTAAGGTTATTTGTATAGTTATATTTAAATCTGGTGTATATACTTGTCTTTAGCATCCTTTTTTAATGCTAAATTGTTTCTTAAAAATACTTGTTTTTTATTATACTTATACATTTCTTTTTTTACCTACTTTGCAACTTATTCTTTTAGATTGTTTCTGTTCGCACCACCAGATTACAAAAGCAAATTCCTTGTATGTGTAAACGTACCTGGCATTAAACTTGATTCTGATGCACACTTACTTACTTGAAAGCGTCTCGACTCTATAGCATTATCTCGTCTCTTCCTGCGGATCCATCGAGTCACATCGCTGGAAACAAGAATCAAAGTTTAAGCAGCGTTGGAAAAAGTATTCAGACCTTTTACTTCCATAAAAGTACTTAAACTCACTTGTAGTAAAGTAAAAGTACCTCAAAGTTGTGCTTAAGTGCAGTAATTGGTCAAAATAGGTGGTTAAAAAAAGTGATTGACATGATTAAAAATACCATAGTGTAGAAATAGAAAAAGTATATAGTATCAAAAGTAGACATTATTCAGTGTTAACCATTTCAGAATAATATGTATTGAATTACTGGATAATAACTATTGATGATGGTATGTTGCTGGAAAAGCTGTGGCATCTTCTTTTGTATGTATTGAGTCTTTTTCTATATCTATTACTACATATGTTGCTGAGTGAATTTCCCAATTGGGCTCAAGTAAGTTTTAGATAGATAGATACTTTATTTACCCCAAATTAGGACATTATTTGCAGCATTGTTGTCAAGCATTACACGAGTTAACAATATTACTACACACACACACAATACAGTCTCACTTAGCTACAGAAATATAAAGAAAGATACTACAGACACATATTAGCATTGGATTATATATAAATTACAGTTGTGCAAAGCAGCTGTTGTGCAAATGGTTGTGGGTAATATTAAAGGACAAATAGGTATGTGTTGATCATATTTAGTAAACCTAAAAGTGGAGAAATAAGTTGAATATTTACCACCTATATAGTAGTAGAATACAAGTATAAAATAGCCTGAAAAGAAAACGCTCAAGTAAAGTATAAGTACCTGAAATGTTCATATACTTAATGTGAAATCTATGTCTGAAACACTTCATTGCAAAACAAAATAAGGTCACCTAGCATAAGACGTTAGCATAACAAAGCTAGCAGCCAGCTAACCGGCTTCTAGCCTCCTAGCTGTAGATGTTAGCACGATAAACCCCCCTGTGAATAGCGTACATTTAATAACGTAGATACTGATACAAATACGGAGTTAATACGGATATAACGTATAGTGTCGTGACTGTAAATACCGTAGCATTCAGCGTGAGATAGCTAACCTAAGCTAGCTATCAGCAAACTACGGGAAGTGCGCCGGTTGTTGAAGCCGATTTTATGAATGGACGCAGTGGCCAAACCGTGGTACTACAACTTCCGTGAAGTCATTTCGGCCCAAACTGGCTTTTTCCCATTGACTTACATGGGGGGAAAGAAACGTCTGTAAATCAGCGTAAACCTTTTTTTCAGCTAAATAAACTACCTAGCACGAACTCTTTTATGACCCTTATTTAAATCATTGTGGTGTTAAAAGTTCTAAAATGCGCTGAAAGCTGAATCCAGAGGTATTTTCTCTCTCCATTCATTTGACTGACAGAGTGAAGGAGATCGGAGGCGGGGCTTAAGGGAAAACTCAACTGCGCATGCTCTATGGGCCCACATACGGGTACTCTCTGAATGTACAATTGGGCTTCTCTTTATACATCCATACTTTCATATGTTTAGCTACAAATTCTTCTTTTTAGATATTCAGCAGCTGGTGTGTTTACCGACAAAATACCGGTTATTAAAGCTGCAAGACGAGACATTTTGTGGATGGTTATTATTCCCACCTAAATGATATTAAAGCTAAATAATACATCTACTAAACAGCAACATCCAAATGAACAGAGGGTTAAAATATTGATATTCAGCTGTAGAACTTGTCTTTGTACTATTATTATAACCTGCATTACATTGACTGAGATATATCACATTTCAGAAAGTATTTATAAATCATTTTCTGGTTAAAAAGATGTTGGTTTTATAAATGAATTTGATATTTTGGCCACGATCCCATACAAATCAACACGGAAGTAGCGTTGAGCTGCTCTTTAACCGATAAAAGGTGTGATATGTACTCAAATAAAGCTATACATGAGAAGTAGTTCTTCATCTTTGACGTGTTTTCTGTTAGAAAAGTAGAAATATAGTGTAAAAACGCTGCAGATAAAGCATAAATCTCACCTCTGAGTCGAAGTTTGTTTTCATGTGTCGGTTGGGATTTGCTCTTTGTTGCCCCTATAGGCCGTGTGAGGAATTACACCCACTGAATTATACAATTATTGTAGTCAAAACCTTTTTTTACATAAATATTTTGATATTATTTTTATTGTTATTATTATATTATTTTTATTTCTGATTATTTTATGAATTTATATATATATTTTATTATTATTATTATTTTAGTTTTTATTATTTTATTTTTTTAATTGTATTTTATTAATGTTATTTTTGTGTTTGTTATTATTGCTATGATTATATATTTTTTAATTATTTATTTTTTTAATCTTTGTTATTTTAAAAATGTTATATTAACCCTGAGTCAAAATGATGTGGACCCCATTTCTACTAAGAAAATAAAAAAAAGATGCAGTAAGTCAGTCCGTGTGTCTTTGTTTAAATGTTCTTTCTTCCTTGATCATACCTATACTGCACATATTTGTATTTCTTAATGCTCTTATTGTCTTTCATTTTTGTAAAGCGCTTTGAATTGCCTTGTGTTGAAAGGTGCAGTATAAATAAACTTGCCTTACTAGTTCACTGACAGGGGGAAGAGAAGAAAAGCCAAACATTGCAGTTCAATATCGCTCGCTCGATCGCTCCAAATAATACCACCCCTTTTATGTGAACGCGCACCTAACTAGATAGGACACGGCTGGCTTGAGTGATCGAGTTGATAGCCAGCGTCGTAGGACAGTTTAGTGAGAGCGCGTTTGTTTTGGATTAGGTCAACCGGATAACTCAAAACATATCCAGGATACAGATGGGGCATCTTATTCTGGACTCCAGCATACACCTTCCTGCCTACTGCCAGCCAGTTACCTGCCTAAGACCTGCCAAAGACCAGTATCCAAGAATGTTAGGCCCTCCCACTATTCTCCAATTCCAGGGTTTAACCAGGAGATGGCGCTATATATTAAATAACTATGGCCAAACTAAGACTTAGGTTGCATTCGAATAGTCCATTTAGCTTAGGAACCTTCCTAACGGAGTGAAATGACCCGGAAGTCCCTCAGTGGCAGCCATGATAAGTGCCGTTCGAATTCTCTAAATTAAAAGGAAAGGAGGTTTCAAACTTCCTTTATAACCTCCTTTAGCTTAGGAACCACTGGACCTCCCTAACCGAAAGGAGAGGAGAAAATGCTGCCCCACAATGCCTTGCGGCCGCAGCATTTGCCGTCACACAACAGTCGGCCGTTCACGGAAACAACCGATTATGAACGAGAAATGATATCATGAAAGTTACGGTGCTTATTAAGCATTTTAAAACGTATGTGGTAAGTTGCCAAAGTGCTTTGTTTTGAACGTTCATCAGTATTATAATCAAAAAGAGAAATATGAACGTTAGTTTTTACTGAAATGATCAAATAAAGTCAACATTTCACAGTCTTTACTGAGCTGTGTGGGGTTTGTTCAACTTTTAAAAGATGTTTGAATGGTGATATACACAGTGATAGATGTTAAGGACTAACCGTTATAATAAATACATTTGTATTGATTTTAAGATCTTTTCATACAATCATACGTATTGGGATCATTTGTATTAATGTGGACCGGAGGGAGAGGGTGACAGTTTCACTTTCCTTTTTTATTTCAATTCCAACTTTGGTCATGAAGAATATGTTTCTCTGTTGTCCCCGTTCATAAAGCATAAAACAACAGCATCAGAGCACGGTGCAGAGTCTCTAGATGAGTTTACAGTAGTCCCTCGTTCTTATTAAACATCCATGTTGTAGTCCGCTGTATAGAAAACTGTAGTTTCCATAGTTTCCCCACAGCAGCAGGCGCACATTTATGACCTCTGCTGGCGCATCATAAACACGTCGGATAGTGAAAGTGCAGTCGGATTCTCTAAAGTGCCGCAGTCTCTTCTCCTAAATCCTTTTGAATTCTCCTATCCACTATCCCTTAACCCCATGACGTTTCACTCCGAGGTCAAGGAATAGACGATAGGGTTAGAACTTAGGAGCTGTTTTTTTGGAGTATTCGAACGCAACCTTAGTTTTTCACAATAGAAAATGCAGATATTATATAAAAAACTAAAGTTAAAATCTTGTTTTTAATGCCCCAAGAGCAATAACATATTGTCACAAGCTTTTTGGAAGAAAAAGACTGACCCAAGAGACCTGTAGTTGACTAATTACAGGCCTCAATAAAGTTCTGCCATTGGTTGTGAAAAACAACGGTGGACATAGTGGAAAGTGAAATTGACATTGTCGAATTTAATAAAAATACAAAATAATGTATCTGTGTACGTGTTTTACTATGTGATCTGCATGCACTTATCAAACATCTAATTAAAGAATGGTAGCTGTACCTCTCAAACAACCTAAACTAGTTATAAATGTTTATTTTAAATAAAGTCTTTATGACTCGGAATATGTTTTTTCATCTGATTTCAAATAAACAAAGTCTTGGCTTTCAGAATATTAAACTTGTTTCGGCAAATTTAGATGATAAATACAACTATGAAGCTTGTAACGGCATAATTACTTAAGCGGAGAACGGAGTAAGTAAACGTTACAGCAGGCATAACAACAGCCGGTGTTTATTTTATTATAATATATAGTCGTTTTATTATATAACTATATATGTAGTTTTATTATAATATATAGTTTTATTATAATATATAGTCGTTATTCATTTCCTATAATATATAGTCGTTATTCATTCGTTATTCATTTGTTTTAAAGCTCAATATATAGTTTTATTATAATATATAGTCGTTATTCATTTGTTTTAAAGCTCAATAAGGAAGATTGAACTTTAAACTTTCACACACGTTGACCGGCGAAAAACTGAATAGAACTTAGATAGATCACTTTACATTTCTGCGAATGAATAGCTTAGCTACTTGGCACTAAGAGTACAGATATGTCTACCCTTTATTTTCAGAGTGTAATATCTGCATTTTCTCTTTTGGTTTGAATAGGAGAAGGGCAATGGTTATCGATGGTGCTTTTAATGCCTATTGTATACAGTACGAACTGTGTGATTTATATTGCTTTTCAAATGCATATAAGCCCCCCATTTACACTGCACTTCCCCGTCAAGAAAATGAATAGCACTTAGTTAGATCACTTTACAGATCAGGTTGGACCAGCCCTGTCGCTACTCTCTGCATTTCCTACTGCAGATTAAAAAAAAGCTACAAATATGTATTTCTTAATAAACTAAATAGGCCACCATTGGTAGCAGTTCTCATTATATACTTCTCAGTAACTGCTCCCCTTAAATTAAATGTATTCTGTAGATAAATGTAAACGTTCACCATCCCCCACCCGCCTACTGTATGTTGCTTTTTGACATGTAAATGGTAACTACCCCCCTCTGAGTGAATACCTGTTGTACCTGTCCGGGGCTAAGCCCATAGGACGATGCTCTGATGTCATCACCCTCGCACATTGGTCATATGTTTACAAAAAACGATGTTAACACTTTCTCGTTCTTAATATATGCTATATTTAGGGTCGATATGTGTTGAATTTACTTTAAAATAGCAGATCACTGTGATTCACTTCTCCGCGGCTCCTCCGTGCAGAGGCCCCCCCCCCGTTGACAATTCACGAGCGTCTAACTCTCTCCCCCCTCCCCCGTCGCACCTTCTAACAAATCCCCCCCCCATACCAAAACGCTGTAACAGGATCTAGTGATGTCCAAGCAACAGAGCTTCATTTAGCATGAAATAATTATTGCACTGTATATATATATATATATATATATATATATATATATATATATATATATATATATATATATATATATATATATATATATATATATATATATATATACACATATATATATATATATATATATATACACAGTGCAATAAGCTTCTTAGTGCAATAAGAAGCTACAGGGACGTTAATCTACGTCGGTAATATTAACTTTATTTAATACAACATTTAATCATACAGCCCATGTAGTATAATATTTTACAAATGATGAATTACAGCAAACATGTGCAATATATCCATTATTACAGCTCCGTGGGCTGGCAGTAAGGCGATATGGGTCCGTTCTTATTGTGCATCCATGGGTAAAGATAAACGCATGTAGTGCTGAACACGTAACATGAACGTGCCGGGCGGCGCGGTCCCGTGGGTTAGATGCGCGTTCATAATGCAGAGGGAAATAACTCTCAGAATAACGTTATTAGCACATTTTACAACTTGAGGAACAAATGTTTTTAATAAGGGCTGTATAGTGTTCATACTGGGTAGTTTATTTAGTTTAAAAAAAATTATCCAACGATTTACAGACCGCTCTTTCCCCATGTAAGTCAATGGGAAAAAGTGTTTCCGGGCCTGGCAACCAAAAGGAAGTGTAGTACCGCCGTTTGGCCAGCACGAATATTTTCATCAGAGTCCGGCGCACTTCCTGGGGGCTTGGTCTAGACGGTCTAGACGTCAAGTGTCCTAGTTGGGTTGCCGTACGGAGTTGTGCAATATGGCGGACCATCTCGCACATGCGCACATGCATAACATCTCGCACATGCGCATAACAACATGGTGATGTTTTGTAAATGATTACATGTCTTATTTAGCACAGACTATGATCCAGACTATGATCCTATCCGTGACATATGGATCTTAACAAAGATCCGCTATACATTAGTACCAGATATACTGTACACGGACATTTTAGTGAACCAGACCAGCTGTTTCCGCCGGGTCTTCGCTTCCCGGGCATCACGTTGTTTACAAGTGTGTTCAGATGCTAAATAAAAGTTTAGCTTGTACTTTTGATACCCCGCCTCTCGGCACCACAACATCCAGTTTACTGTATTTCACATGAGTGATGTCGAACATTGAAAAGTCCTTATAAAATCTCTGTTATTAGATCAGTACTTTTCTTATATGACTATTATTGACTTGAACACTGAGAATGTATTTATTAACTTCAGACATTTGAAATATTTGAAATCAGATGAAAACAAACTGTAACGGACCCTGCCGTGTTATCTATGATTACTATGCCTTACTGTAATTCAAAACATTCAAAAGCATTAAATAAAAAGTCATGAAAGAGATAAGGATGAGAAAAGGTTTAAGGAAGTAAGCAAGGAATACAGAATGTTTCGTTACGTAACTTTGTTGAGAATGTGGCCATGTAATACACGGGAAAAATAACACCCATCCTGATCGTTTCAATGAAGTTGAATACAGAATATTCATATTTGTCAGTGATTTCATGTCAATTCGGCGAACATAAACAATGATGATGATTAAATTAGGATTAAAAATCGGGAGAGCCGGCTCGTTCGTTTTTTTCGACTAAACAACATTATTTTGTTAAATAACAACATGGTGATGTTTTGTAAATGATTACATGTCTTATTTAGCGCAGACTATGATCCTATCCGTGACATATGGATCTTAACAAAGATCCGCTATACATTAGTACCAGACATACTGTACATGACTCCAGTGTGGAACCCCACTGCACCCCCTGGTGGATCAATGATCCATTGCAGCTGGCTTCACAATAATTACATTTATTTATCACGGGGGCGGTATCAAGTCAGACTGGGGGCCGGCCGGCCATCACGGACCGTGCACGAACCGATCACGACCCTCGCGTTTTAAACTGTCCAAAATAAGACGCTCCATCTGTATGTTGAACTAGATTCGTAGTATAGGCCTCAGGCTAGCCGTTCAGCATAAGTTATCTAGCCCACTAAGAAGTGAACCAGCTTCGTAGGACCGGAAATCCCTGAAGTTAGCTTGCTAAACGAAAATCCTGATTCGTAGTACAGGCCCCTGGCCACTGGTCCGGAGCAGGGGCCTATACTACGAAGCAAGATTTTCGTTTAGCAAGCTAACTTCAGGGGTTTCCGGTCCTACGAAGCTGGTTCACTTTTTAGCAGGCTAGATAACTTATTCTGAACGGCTATCCTCCGGAGCAGGATAGGTTCCAGGATAAAAGCACTGCCTGCTGACCAATCAGAGCTCAGTGTGCGGAGTTTAAAGGGATCAATTAATATGACAGGAGAAAGGAAATACAGTTTAAACTGCCGTTGCAGGAAAGACGGCCGGCCAAAATCACCGACTGTGTGAACGTGAAAATGAATAGAATATCACCTCCCATCTTCAGAGCAATCTGACTATTATAACATTAGCGTTAAGAAAGCTTAGTTAAATATCTGCCACAACATAAGTAACCGGATCAAAGTAACATTACGTAGCCTACAGTCCGCGGCACTGTGAGTGCAGATGGCGATGTGTCCCATTATCATTCATATCATATCACATCATAATGTATCATATATTTCCTTATTTGAGTCAGCTTCTTGAGCCGTATCTGGCCGTGCAACACTCAGTGTCAAATACTGTATGCAGAAGTATTATTTTAAGCAACACATTAAGTTGACGAAACACTCGAGTCAAATGTAATTAAAGTCAGATCCACTCGTGTCTTGGACGGGGCAGTGATTTCATAAACCTGTTAATGTACGCATTCAAACACTTTTTCTTTTACCAGCTGTATTCACCTTGCAGGTGCAGCTATGTGGCTTTGATCCTGGATAAAGTGTTTAAGTCATGGATGTTTAAGGTTTAACGTCTTCATATTTGACTAATATTAGTTGACTTTTCATTCAGGAAGTATATGACGCGCTGCGCTGTCAGTACGCTTGTCCATGTTTGTGATTGGTCGAACACTCCAAATACAACCCCTTTTATGTGAACACGCACCTAACTAGATAGGACACGGCTGGCTTGAGCGATCGAGTTGATAGCCAGCGTCGTAGGACCGTTTAGCGAGAGCGTTTTTTTTTTGGATTTAGTCAACCGGATAACTCAAAACATATCCAGGATATGTTGAACTAGATTCGTAGTATACCCCCAGATCAGGAAATCCAATCCAAGCTTTAATCTGGATCAAATCTTCAGAACGGGTAGTTCAAACCGACAACACAGGATTGGGATCAGCTTGATCCCAAAAAACTGGATTATCCTGATCCCACCAAATATGTTTTAATTTAAATAAGATGGCAAAGTTTGTTAACTGAAATAATACACAATTTTTAGCCTTCATGGCAAATACATTTTATTTTTCCATTTTTACTCACGTTTGTGGTGGCCTATTTTGTTTTCAACCAAATATTGATGACAAAAATGTTTATGCTCATAAAAGTATCACAAATGTAATTTAGATTAAAGTAAAAATCAAAACAAAACACCAGAGACAGGCCTCACACAGAGACACGCCGCACACAGAGACAGGCCTCACACAGAGACAGGCCTCACACAGAGACAGGCCTCACACAGAGACAGGCCTCACACAGAGACACGCCGCACACAGAGACAGGCCTCACACAGACACAGGCCTCACACAGAGACAGGCCTCACACAGAGACAGGCCTCACACAGAGACATGCCGCACACAGAGACATGCCTCACACAGAGACATGCCTCACACAGACACAGGCCTCACACAGAGACAGGCCTCACACAGAGACAGGCCTCACACAGAGACATGCCGCACACAGAGACAGGCCTCACACAGAGACATGCCGCACACAGAGACAGGCCGCACACAGAGACAGGCCTCACACAGAGACATGCCTCACACAGAGACATGCCGCACACAGAGACAGGCCGCACACAGAGACATGCCGCACACAGAGACATGCCTCACACAGAGACATGCCTCACACAGAGACAGGCCTCACACTGAGACAGGCCTCACACTGAGACAGGCCTCACACAGAGACAGGCCTCACACAGAGACAGGCCGCACACAGAGACAGGCCGCACACAGAGACAGGCCGCACACATGCAGCCAGAGGAGAAGGAGAGAGCCCACTGCAGTCTTCCTCAGGTCCTTTATGGAGGCCCTGATTGGGGATTGGGAGCACCTGGGGGAGAGGCTGCACCTGGAGACAATCAGGGAGAGAGACACACACACAAAAGCACACACATCCAAGCACCAACTGCGGCACGTAACAGAAACATATACAGCAATCTTAATATCTATGATCAGCTGATCCAAGAGGTTTTAAAATTGTGTATAAAGCCTGAGAAGAACCAAAGCTGTCAGACAAATGTAGTGAGGTAGAAATATACAAATGGAAATAGTCAAGTACATTTTTTTAAGCTACTTTACTTAAGTTGAGAACTAGTGAAAACTGTTCTTCAGTTAAAACATTTGTAAAAAAGACAAATAACATTTCCCTCGTTTGTTAAACCACTGCCGCCTAATGTTTAATTATCAGATATTGTTGATTCTCCAAGTGTCGTGTTCTTTTATTCCATGAAAGACAAACAACTTCTAAGTTCAACTATTTATTAAAAGAGAGCAACAGATATATATTTCACTTGGCCAAGGACTCCGTCAGGTCAAAGAAATCACAGGCAGCAAAGCTGTAATCTGTAACCACTATATCCATCAAAAAGCCTTGAACCTTGTGCGTGCATATATTTTATTATTCAGGGCGCTGCCCGTACATTTATGATTGGTTGAGACTAGAAGGGGAGGACCGTGGTTTAGACTTTGGCCTCCCTTGTTGGTGCACAGACTTGGACAAAGTCTCTTGGCAACACAAACTCCAATCAGCATTCGGCCGGCCGGTGAAGGTTCCTCCCTACTCTAGTCACGCTATCCTACGTAATTTGTTTTGCTAAAGCTTCTGCAATAGATATTGGGAATCTTCCATTATACTAGTTCCCAGTTATGCGTAGGCGAGGAGCTCACACTGTTCAAGGCCAGGGCGATCTCCTGTTCTCAATAACTCTTTGTCTCCACAGTGTCTGCACCAGGGGGGTATACTACGAATCTAGTTCAACATATCCTGGATATGTTTTGAGTTATCCGGTTGACTAAATAAAAAAATAAAATCTTGCTTTGTAGTATAGGCACCTGGTCTAAATGCAGCTAAACTTTCTTCTAAGACTTTTCCCTTCGTTTAATATCCAACCCATCAGAACCTGGGATTGATGATTGTGTCTATTTATTCCATCGTCATAGCAACATCTCATGAGCTCAATAAGCATATAATGTAATAATAAGAATCAACCTTGTAATGTTATATACAAATAGACTCAACACAAGTAACTGTCAATACATTTTGTACCAATATACTGTAATTAAAGCATGAATCCTGAATCTACCCTTTAAAACATATCAGAAACACCCATCATTTTTCCCTCAATTTAAAATGATTAAAAAGAAAATTGTATATACAGTATTTTACTAATGAAAAAGGAGTGCATTACTTCCACTAGTTATTTAAGCTAGTATGAAACACGTTTTGTACACACAACTTTATCAAATATTTACATTTTATTTCACCCAGAAATTGTAAGAAGTGGCAAATATTTATTGTTTAATACATTGTTTTCTGATCATTGTGAGTCATGACAGCAGGTAGTGCAATCCGTAGAATGAAGTAGATTACATTAGAACATAATCATCAGTATTTTAGGTGTGTTTATTTGTATCATCAAGGTAAAACATCTCTGATCAGATTCTGAAAAAATAACAATGTTCACAATGTACTTCCCCCGTTGAATACATTTATTACATTTAGTGTCTCTTTCTGTAGAAAATCAAATGGTTGTTCTACTTAGTGTGATTGACAGGAGAGATGATCAGAGGGGCAGAGTTTTTACCACCATCGTTAGAATAGGGACTAAAGTATGGGTAGAGTTTCTCTTTGAAGCAGCAGCCAGTGAAGGAGTAGATCAGAGCTGGAGCATCAACATCATAAAAGGAGACCAGACCCTCCTCATAATCCACAAACACCCCCACCTTCTTAGGCTGAGACTTCAGAGAGAGACCAACTGGAGGACCAGTACGAGCTTGATAATCATTTTCATTCCTCAACACTATCACCCAGTAACCATTTTGAGGAGACTGTACGATGTTTCCCTTCCTGTTGATCGACTCTCTGGCCACTCCTAAATCCCACTGAGTCTTTCCTTTAACCTGAACCTCGTAATAAAATCTTCCTGAAGAGAAACTCTGCTTTGCTAAAACACGGTGAGAATAATCAAATCTCTCTGGATTGTCTGGACGATTCTTCTTCACATCACCATGTTTAACTTGTTTTCTATGATCAGACAGGATAAGGTTGGGATGTGCTGTATCAGGATCAAGAGTCACCTCCACATCATACTGCTGGACCCTCTTCAGCTCCACCTCAAGCAGCTTCTTCATCTGTTTCCTGAGCGTCTCCTCCAGCTGAGTCACAGCTCTCCTCACAGTCCCCTCATATGAAGGATGGACCCTGACTTCTGTCCAGTTCTTGGTGGGTGGAGCAGCGTTCAGGGACTTGAAGCTTTGGAGGAGGTGGAGCTGGTCTTCAGAGCGTGAGAGCTGCTCCACCTCAGAGCTTCTCTTCTTCAGCTCAGAGATTTCCTGTTCCAGCTCTTTGATGAAGCCTTTAGCCTGTTCCTCTGTCTTTCTCTGCTTCTCTTTGATGGTGTTGATGAGCCCGGCCTGGCTTCTCTCAACAGACTTCTTCAGAGCGGTGAAGACCTGAACACCATCTGCTATCTCTCTGTCTGCTCCTTCCTTACTAACATGCACTGAGCGATTCATCTCCTGAATCTTCAGTCGTCTCTTCTGGATCATCTGCTGAATTTCAGCGTCTGTCTTCCCCAGCTCTGCCTTCTTTCCTTTATATCCTTCTTTCAGAGGAACAACATCATGTGTCTTGTGGTCTGAAACAGTGCAGAGCATGCAGACACACACCTGGTCGGTCTTACAGAACAGCTCCAGCAGTTTATCGTGCTTCACACACATCCTGGCTTCCAGGTTCTCCAGAGGGTCGATCAGCTGATGTTTCTTCAGGCCTGGCCTTGTCAGGTGAGGCTCCAGGTGAGTTTCACAGTAGGACTCCAGACACACCAGGCAGGACTTCAGGGCCTTCAGTCTGGTTCCAGTGCAGACGTCACAGGGAACTTCTCCTGGTTTGAAGACTTGTTGCTCTGAGCTGCTGCTGCTGGCTTTCTGTTGAGCTGACTGTCTGAACTGAGCAGCCATCTCAGAGATGAAAGTGTTGACCTGCAGCTCAGGCTTTATGTTGAACACCTCTTTGCAGTTAGGACACTGACTCGGGACATTTCTATCCCAGTGTTCAGAGATGCAGGCTTTACAGAAGTTGTGTCCACATGGTGTGCTGACTGGATCAGTGAACACATCCAGACAGATGGAGCACAGAAACTGATCTTCAGTCAGCAGACTGCTGGCAGCAGACATGTCTACACTCTGAGGACAAAACGTGTGAAGAAACACAACTTAATGACATATTGTCTATTTGCCATGCTATTTGAGTCCTAATACGAACGTGAAAATGTTAACAAGCACAACGTTTTATGTTAGAAATGTATAGTAAAGGTCCCCAGCACATAGAGACTGAAGGATGCTAACTTTTCAGGCAATTTGAACAATTAGCATAAGTTATTTTATTAGCAGGAATCAGCATGAATCAGCTCTATCTACCAGGGGGTTATAGAGTGGCACACTAGGAATAAGTGGAATAAGTGTGCAAAAATATTTAAATTGTATTTTCGGATCCTGAACGAGACCGCCGCTAGGGCGCGTCTCCCCGTTACCTGCAGAAGGAAGCCATGCACGCAGCGCAGCCCCGCTCTCTTTAACTCCAGGTGACTTTCTGACGCTTTCCTCCGTGGTGCAGGGCTGATCGTTTCACCACAGAGGAAAGCACTTCACAAATTGCAGTACCCATAAGGAGCTTTACAAAAGCCGCAGTTTTTGCGTGGCTGTGTCTTTAGTTGAAAGCCCAGTGGCGATCTGCTCATCTCTCATTGAAATAATATGCTACAAAGGGGCGGACTGGCCATCTGTGTGTTGAACTTTCCTGTCGGTTCCCAGACCGTAGTCGAGGAGGGCAGAAGCAACAAGCTTCAGGTTCAATAACCCACTTCAGCTTAAATGACTGGAGAGAGGCGAGCTCTTCTGGGGAGGCCGTTGCATTTATTTAGTTGTTCTTCTGTTTCACAAAATACATCACAGACCTCTGTTTTTCTGCTGCCTCGTTTCACTTCCAGAAACATACAGCCGCTCGTTCACTCTCGCTCTACCATCCACACACACACATGCACGCGCCACACCCCTCTCTCTCTCTCTCTCTCTTAAAGGGACAGCGATCTCATCTCACTCTGCATGACCCTAATATCAACATGTGTGTTCTGGAGAATCACAGAACGGACGATCGTCCTTATTATTATGCCGTTTAAACCAATTATTTAAATTTGTTTGTTAAATTCGGCATCATGTAAGTTGCGCTGACAGGTCCACACACTGCTTCCCCGCAGCAAGACTCCCCCCGCCCTCCTGTTGACAGTTCACGAGTGTCGAGCTCCTCACCCCCCCCCCCATTGATAATTCACGATCGTCGGCACGCTGATAATAATGTAATGGCACTTCATATCAAAAAGGTTGCCGACCCCTGGTGTAGACATAGAACAAACTTTTTTCAGAAAAGTCACTTGTTATTATTATAAATAAAATGTGGAAAATCATAGCAGCATTTAGTTTAAACTCTAAAAAAACACAATGTGTAAGCTTTATTCATTTTGGGGGATTTTGCCATATTTGAACAGAGGAGTGAGACCTCCTTGCTGAGCATCACTGAAGTTAATAGTTGTTAAAAAACAGTAAACGTTATCAGCTGTATAAAGGCCGTTTAAAGTTTACATTGTATTTTTGGCTGTTGCTATTAACCTAACTGACACATTGCTATAGTATAATATTATTGATATGGTGAAATGGATATAATACAGTCAGATTCTGATTTTAATCCAACTTTGACTAAGTATTTAGTGAGTCGTTGTGTCTCTGATGATGAATGATTATATGATACTTTGACAAAACACTGCTTTACAAAGAGAGACAGCAGTAACTACAGAGAAGTTGAGAAAGAAAGGGTTATAAGTTAACGGCTGCTGAACAAAGTGTATAACAGTTAAATAAATTGTACAATGTAAATGTCGTGCCTTTACAGACTACACAAAAAGAGACCTCCCAAACAATCTGAGCTAGGCTAGTTAGCCGTTAGCACGCCTGGGCTAACTGCTGTTCCTGTTCTTTGTCTCGTGTTTAGTGAGTCGTTGTGTCTCTGCAGTGCACTCACCAGTGTTTGCAGAGGTTCTGCTGTGTTGTGGAGAAGAAGCTGCTGGATTCAGTTGTTTCTTCAGAGAAACAGAGACGCTGTCTGGACCGCAGCTCTGCTCTCACTAAGTTTCACTTTCGCTTCTGTGAAGTTGTTGAAGCTCTCCTGTTTCAGTGCTCCTCCTCTCAGTGTAGCTCTGTGAGTGAGGGTGTGTCACTCTCTGGGGAGGGCATTAACTCAGCTTTGTAACAAGAGGTTTACTTTGAGTCTATTCTTCTTCTTTGCTTGAAGTAAACAGCAACCAGACAAAAACAATTACAAACAGACATGAGAAAAGAGGTCAGAGAAAGATAATAAGGAGCATTCTGTGTGTTTTGATAAATGGGCTACAGCGCTCCCTTTACAGTCCCTCTACATTCCCACAGACCCTCTAATAACCAACTCACTGTTTCTCCTACATGTAATGTCACATTTCTACTGCTTTCCCAACTTTAATCCTATTTCTTCCTGATAAAAATGTATAAAAGCAAAGATGGAAACCCTTTTTTCTCCGGGCCACTTTCAGGCTGCTCTTTGATTTTGAGTTTTCACAATTATTAATGTAACATTCTTCTTTCAAATAACTTGTTTTAAGCACATTAATCAGATAGAGTATCCCTTAATCACTTTTCACTACTAAAGTGTAGATATGTGAAAGTATAGGAGATTAAGAGTTTATTTAACTCATGCATTCATGTCATTAGTTTCAGTATCAGACTGGTCATACAGTCATTTATAAGAAGCATGCATCAGGCTGCAGTTTGTTATAAAACCCACAGGGCTGGCATGAATTCATGGTAAATCTGTTCTTTTTTATTATATTTACTGTGCATATATCTGAGATCAAGTCCTTTAAATGCAAATTATGGACAATTAAATATTCAAGTCATGCTTGTCATTGTCTTAAAACGTTGCATTATGCTAGGACTTTATCAGGTAGGACTTAAAACCGTAATAGTTTATCTTCAAAGCGTCATCTCTAGTCTTAATGGAGTCAAATCTCAGGTCCTCTTTGAATGCACAACACGTGGGTTAAAGCTCTTTGTGTTGGAAAGGCCAGCATTGACATCTAGTGGAGTAAAGTGAGAGCTGCACAACAACGTCTGCTTACTCAGTCCCTGCAGCAGCAGGAGAGGAGAGGATGGTGAATGGACAGCTTGTTGTTGCACAGTTTAATGTTGTGTGTTCATGAAGTCCATGTCCTCTTACTTACTAAGTACATATCCTGTTTGATGTGCCGTGTATTGGCTTATTGTCATAATGCAGAGTATAAACAGCCCCCCCCTTTCAGGACCCTCGTGTTGCAGCTAGTTTGTATGACTCATCTGCAAAACTGACTATATTTATACCCACTGTTAAGAGGAAGTAAAGTTTAAAAATATCTGAAGTTGCCACATTCCTCCTGTTTTGGCTGCTTTGCACTGGTTCCCTATAACACACAGGATATCATTACAAATGCTTCTTCTTGCGTACAAATCCTTTAATGGGCAGGCAACATCTGATCTTAAATATCTCATTATACTCTACTGTCCCAATAAAGCTTATAGGACATCATCATCATCATCATCATCATCATCCCCTTATTCTTCCTGATAGTCTTAGACTGTCGGGGACACCTTACTTCTTTCTTCTCTCTCTCTGTACCTGTTTACTCTCATGTCTCAAATGACCCCGCTTCCCCCGAAATGTGTTTTTTGTGAATGCCTGGATCCTGAGTTCTGGATCCTGAGTCGTGGATCCTGAGTTCTGGATCCTGAGTTCTGGATCCTGAGTCGTGGATCCTGAGTTCTGGATCCTGAGTTCTGGATCCTGAGTTCTGGATCCTGAGTCGTGGATCCTGAGTTCTGGATCCTGAGTTCTGGATCCTGAGTCGTGGATCCTGAGTTCTGGATCCTGAGTCGTGGATCCTGAGTTCTGGATCCTGAGTTCTGGATCCTGAGTTCTGGATCCTGAATCGTGGATCCTGAGTTCTGGAACCTGAGTTCTGGATCCTGAGTTCTGGATCCTGAGTCGTGGATCCTGAGTTCTGGATCCTGAGTTCTGGATCCTGAGTTCTGGATCCTGAGTCGTGGATCCTGAGTTCTGGATCCTGAGTCGTGGATCCTGAGTTCTGGATCCTGAGTTCTGGATCCTGAGTTCTGGATCCTGAGTCCTGGATCCTGAGTTCTGGATCCTGAGTCCTGGATCCTGAGTTCTGGATCCTGAGTTCTGGATCCTGAGTCCTGGATCCTGAGTCCTGGATCCTGAGTTCTGGATCCTGAGTCGTGGATCCTGAGTTCTGGATCCTGAGTTCTGGATCCTGAGTTCTGGACCCTGAGTTCTGGATCCTTAGTCGTGGATACTGAGTTCTGGATCCTGAGTTCTGGATCCTGAGTTCTGGATCCTGAGTTCTGGATCCTATCCCGCTACCATCTAATGTGAGATACAGGGTCCCTCGATTCAATAGAGTCAGCCTGAAGCATCCTTTGTGCTCCAGTCGACCCTCTCAGTGAACACAGAGCTACAGATCAGATGCACGCTGAAGGCTCGTTGAGCATCTCTCACTGATCCTGCTGCTATGTTACATGTTTGTTGTTTGTTTCTCATGTATTGTGTCCTGATGTTTGTCTGTTGATGTTACACATGGAGCTGCTGTGATGCAAGGAGCATTTCAGACTTGATCTGACCATTAAAGTATTATCCCATCGTATCGTATTTCTCCCATTAACTGGGGGGTGTGTGTGTCTGGACAGAAGGTCCAGTTGTGATAGACACGGTTCGCCACTGTCTCACAGCGAGTGTGTGGTTTGACAGATTCTCGGTTCCTCCCCTCAGAGGCTCGAACCAGCCGGAGAATGTGGACACTCCTCTGAAGCTGAGAAACAAGCTCTGTAACTATGGGCTGTAACCCGATAACTGATCAGTGGTCAGCTCTGAACCAGCACAACGAGGCAAACTGGTGTGTTTACTTCACTGCAGTCGCATCCTATCAAGCACTGGGATTAAGAACATTTAGCTGAATGTTCACTCGTTTCAAATTCAATATGATAATCTCTCATGTGATTAAATACTCTCATATACACTCAGTGGGAAACATATTGGTCCTATTATACTCATTTTCAACAACATATCATAGGTCTCAGATATAAAGGTGACCTGTACAAGTTCTATTGTTTGTTATTCATTTGCTTTTATCAATTAAAAGCCATGCCAATGTTTTCATTAAAAAGAGAGCTATCAAGGTGTTTGACAGAAAGCCTAATTCATACCACCACGGTACCATCCTTGAAAAACACAATTTCTTGAGTTTTGACCATTTTAAGTCTTTTAAAAGTATGTGTTTTATTTATAAATGTTTACATGGACTGCCCCCCCCCCCCCTGTAAGCATTGTTTTGTTTTAAAGTGTTCATCGATGTGCACTGTCCCTCTTCAAATAAACGATTAAATGAAATACTGTTAAACCGGAACAAAAACATCAATCTCATCATTAAATTAGTCTCAATGATTTATTATATGTATTATCAAGGTGTGAATTAAATAAGGCACATTCACATCATTTAAAAAAACATCCAAAACCTTAAAAATAAAACCAGTGGTACAAAAATAATTAAGGCTCGACTTCTGCAGTTTAGCGGCTTTGACATCCTTTCATGTTAAAGTGAAAAACAATGGAGAGTGGACACAAAATGGACGAAACACATCGAGTCTGAAGCTTCATCCTCACCGAAACAAATAACATGAACTCTGAGAGGTGAACATGTGACATTATGAACAGTAACACTGACGGAGACGTTCCTGAAGAACTGCAGACGCTTCATTCAGTTGTAATGCACTGAATATCTCATGTTAAAGGACCAAACTGAAGGCTCATTAAATACTCGTGTGTAGATGAAGTGTGTGTAGGAGATACAGGTGAGGTGTGTGTAGGAGGGGCTTTAGTAGAGGAAGTGTGTGTGGGGGGGTTTCAGAAGAGTGCTGACAGGTTTCTGGTGAAATAAATAAATGAATATATTTATATGAAAATAACTAAAGAAATCTGCAGCATTTTTCAAATCAAAGTAAGATTTTTATTGTAAAAAAAGGGAATTAACCCAAAATATTTCAGTATGACTGACTTTTCCCTTCGTTTAATATCCAACCCATCAGAACCAGGGATTGATGATTGTGTCTATTTATTCCATCGTCATAGCAACATCTCATGAGCTCAATAAGCATATAATGTAATAATAAGAATCAACCTTGTAATGTTATATACAAATAGACTCAACACAAGTAACTGTCAATACATTTTGTACCAATATACTGTAATTAAAGCATGAATCCTGAATCTACCCTTTAAACACATATCAAACACCCATCATTTAAAAAGAAACATGTATATATACAGTATTTTACTAATGAAAAAGGAGTGCATTACTTCCACTAGTTATTTAAGCTAGTATGAAACACGTTTTGAAAACACACAACTTTATCAAATATAAACATTTTCTTTCACCCAGAAATTGTAAGAAGTGGCAAATATTAATTTTTTTAGTCAATTGTTTTCTGATCATTGTGAGTCATGACAGCAGGTAGTGCAATCTGTAGAATTAAGTAGATTACATTAGAACATACTCATCAGTATTTTAGGTGTTTATTTGTATCATCAAGGTAAAACATCTCTGATCAGATTCTGAAAAAATAACAATGTTCACAATGTACTTCCCCCGTTGAATACATTTATTACATTTAGTGTCTCTTTATGTAGAAAATCAAATGGTTGTTCTACTTAGTGTGATTGACAGGAGAGATGATCAGAGGGGCAGAGTTTTTACCACCATCGTTAGGACAAGGACTAAAGTATGGGTAGAGTTTCTCTTTGAAGCAGCAGCCAGTGAAGGAGTAGATCAGAGCTGCAGCATCAACATCATAAAAGGAGACCAGACCCTCCTCAAAATCCACAAAGACCCCCACCTTCTCAGGCTGAGACTTCAGAGAGAGACCAACTGAAGGACCAGCACGAGCTGTGTACTCATTTTCATTCCTCAACACCATCGTCCAGTAACCATCCTGAGGAGACAGTGTGATCTTTCCCTTCCTGTTGATCGACTCTCTGGTCACTCCTAAATCCCACTTAGTCTTCCCTTTAACCTGAACCTCGCAATAAAATCTTCCTGAAGAGAAACTCTGCTTTGCTAAAACACAAGTACACTGATCAAATCTCTCTGGATTGTTTGGGAGATTCTTGTTCACATCACCAAGTTTAACTTGTTTTCCATCATCAGACAGGATGAGCCATGGATATGCTGTATCAGGATCAAGAGTCACCTCCACCTCATACCGCTGGACCCTCTTCAGCTCCACCTCAAGCAGCTTCTTCATCTGTTTATTGATCGTCTCCTGCAGCTGAGTCACAGCTCTCTCCAAAGCTCTCCTCACAGACCCCTCACATGAAGGTGGACGGACCCTGACTTCTGTCCAGTTCTTGGTGGGTAGAGCAGCGTTCAGGGACGTGAAGCTTTGGAGGAGGTGGAGCTGTACTTCAGAGCGTGAGAGCTGCTCCACCTCAGAGCTTCTCTTCTTCAGCTCAGAGATTTCCTGTTCCAGCTCTTTGATGAAGCCTTCAGCCTGTTCCTCTGTCTCTCTCTGCTTCTCTTTGATCGTGTCGATGAGCTCGGCCTGGCTTCTCTGAACAGACTCCTTCAGAGCGGTGAAGACCTGAACACCATCTGCTATCTCTCTGTCTGCTCCTTCCTTACTGAGCTCCACTGAGCGATTCATCTCCTGAATCTTCAGTCTTCTCTTCTGGATCATCTGCTGAATTTCAGCCTCTGTCTTCCCCAGCTCAGCCTTCTTTCCTTTATATCCTTCTTTCAGAGGAACAACATCATGTGTCTTGTGGTCTGAAACAGTGCAGAGCATGCAGACACACACCTGGTCGGTCTTACAGAACAGCTCCAGCAGTTTATCGTGCTTCACACACATCCTGCCTTCCAGGTTCTCCACAGGGTCGATCAGCTGATGTTTCTTCAGGCCTGGCCTTGTCAGGTGAGGCTCCAGGTGAGTCTCACAGTAGGACTCCAGACACACCAGGCAGGACTTCAGGGCCTTCAGTCTGGTTCCAGTGCAGACGTCACAGGGAACTTCTCCTGGTTTGACAACTTGTTGCTCTGAGCTGCTGCTGCTGGCTTTCTGTTGAGCTGACTGTCTGAACTGAGCAGCGATCTCAGAGATGAAAGTGTTGACCTGCAGATCAGGCTTTATGTTGAAAACCTTTTTGCAGTTGGGACACTGACTCGGGACATTTCTATCCCAGTGTTCAGAGATGCAGGCTTTACAGAAGTTGTGTCCACATGGTGTGCTGACTGGATCAGTGAACACATCCAGACAGATGGAGCACAGAAACTGATCTTCAGTCAGCAGACAGCTGGCAGCAGACATGTCTGTAAGAAAATGGGTAGAAAAAAAAAAAAAGTTTTAACAAAATGTAGTAGAGAATACGGTATGCATACTGGATGTAAAAAGCTGACACTAAAGTTCACTGCTTGCTTTAAAAGTTAAGTACTATCCTTAATGTGTTAAACATGGAGATCATTTTACAGTTTGATGAAATGTCTTGCTATAACTCTGTGGCCCATAAACAACACATAACCACTGTTTGTTCTATCACAGTAAAAGCAATTGACTCATTAAACGGACTCTGCATGTCGCAATGCTCTCAGTTACATTATTTGAAAAGCCTAATGCATCACAATATATTTAATCATAGCCTGTGATCCCTGCCTGCTACCAGTCACCTATTATGCTATATTTTAACAATATGTTATAGGGCCATATCAACAAAACATGTCTCTGAAGTGTTTTGCTCAAAATACCAAACAGAACACCCATTGTAGCCATGCCTCATACACTCTATTTCAGCCCTGTAACAAAAGTGCTGATTCATGGTCCGTAGCTTTAAATAGAAGAATTCGAATTTGGAGGGATGAAACCCTCTTTAACGGTACGTCCACACGGCAGCGTGCGTTGAAGCTTGCCGGTGGGCGTGTCTGGAGCGCGACCACCAACCAATCACATGAATCTCCCGCCCCGGACACACAAGCACGCGGTTTGATTGGCTAGAGCTTGTACTGGCATATGATTTGATTGGCTGATGCTTCCGTCGAAGCTTGAAAAGTTGAACTTTTCTCAACTTTTGAAGCGAGCAACGCGGAACCACAATGCAGTTCGGCAAAGCGTGACGTCACCCCATTCAAAGTGAATGGGAAGCTGCGTTGAAGCTTCAACCGGCACACAAAGTGACATTTGTTCTCTGCTCTAACCCCATCTTAGTACTAGGAGCAGTGGGTACAGCGCCCGGGGAGCAATGGCAGTGGGGGGGTTGTCCGGTGCCTTGCTCAAGGGCACCACGGCAGGGCCCAGGAGGTGAACTGGGACCTCTCCAAGTAGCAGTCCACACTCCATACTTTAAGTCTGTTCGGGGACTTGAACCGGCGACCCGGAAGTGAGCAGTGAGGAGACGGCAGAAACTCAGCTAAATGCTGCCATGATTAAACGCCATATTATGTTCCAAAACCAAATCAAGGATTATTTCTGAAACAGTATGGAGCTCAAATGCTTTTTCTCTCTCTCAGGTTTACCACAAGGTGAGTTCCTTTTTATTTCCTGCTTTTCACATACTCTCTCCAGTACAGGTTAGCTCTGAGTGTTAGCGATGCTAATGTAAATACAGACCATATTACTTCCAAAACATGTCGCGCATCGTTTCTGATAGCGACGTTTCTGATAAGGGACTATAGGTTGGGGCGAGATGTTACCAGGAGTTCAACCTGAAGCCAGCCCACATTTTAGTAATGTCGTCATGACCGCAGCAAATCTGGATCAGCTCCGTTGTTCCTCCGTTTTTAGAGATTTGGATAAAGAGGAAAGAGAGAGGGTTGTATTTTCTGACACTTTGTTAGTCTCCTGACACACCGGGGACTAGGGCTGAACGATATATCGTGTCATGGCGATAACCGCGATATTCACATCGCAGGGACGTGCAATTTTATCTTTTTATTAAGTAGGTAAATTAACTCAAAAACGACATGTTACAATTATTTTGCTGCTTGCTACAAAAGGAAAACTTGCGCGGCTCACATGTCAGGGGTACTTGAGTGAGTGACATGCAGGCTCTGCATGCACAGCAAACCACCAATCACAATCATTCTTGATCAGATCACAGCAGGCCCCGCCCCGCTAGTTTGCAGACCATCAAAACACTGGTAAAAAAATGAGCGAGGCACAGGAGGACAATACCGGCGAGAATGGAGATTTACTTCCCAAAAGAAAAGCAACATCTGCCATCTGGAACTATTTTGGATACAAAAAGGTTCTTCTCTTCTTCATTCACAGATGAACCCCCTTATTTGAGGGTAAGCAACATGCATTATCATGACATGTTAGATCATGACTTAAGGTATGATGAGTCAACCAGTTAAGATCCAGACGTCCGTGACTAAAATCCTTCATCCGGTTAAATATAGTTAAAAAAAAATATCGCAATGTCAGTTTTTTTCAATATCGTGCAGCCCTACCGGGGACACATATTTATGAATAAAAGACAAGAAGTGCATTTTGCATAATAGGTGACCTTTAAATGACTGAAGCATGTGGCTATTAGCTGCTCGTTAGTTATTCAAAGAGAATAAACACATGGATTTTAGCCTCTGCAGACCATTTACATGCACAGAAACCTATAGAACACTACAGGAAAGGGAAAACCCTAAAAGCATAATAGGGCTTCCTAAAAAATCTCCCCGAGAGGAATTCCTGAGGTTTTGAGTTTATACCTGATGTTGAAACATTGTCAATTATCAGCTTTGTTATCGTTCAATCGTTGGTCCGCACTCACTGCCTGCCAAAATCCACTCGCCTTTTAAAAAGCTTGATTTTGTTCCCCAAACGTATTCTGTGAAGACCCGGCCCTACTCTGATTGGTAGGTTTCAGCACGAGGAGTGAGATGGGGTGGGTCTTAACGGAATACGCGAGAGAAAGAAGTCATAACAAGTGGTACAGGACAGGTAGACCACGTGTTTTTCGGATGGAAAATGAGCCAAACGCGAAAACGCAGCAGCATTTGGATGCACTTCAACCAAAACCCAGGCAGTGATAAAGCGCACCATTTGTAAAGGCAAAATATCCTTTAAAGCAGGGTCAACAAATAATCTCCATCGCCACTTAAAAACACAGTATCCATAGGCGGCGCGTGAGGCTCAGGTTTGGGAAGGCTAAATAACTTTTTTTTTACCTGACGCTGCCCACCTCCGGCGTCTATAGAAAAGAGATCAACTCAGTGAAAGCACCGCCTGCTGACCAATCAGAGCTCAGTGTGCGAAGTTTAAATCTATCAAGTCATATTACAGGATAAAGGAAATACAGTTTAAACTGCCATAGCCTATGCAGAGAAGACGCCGACGTGTCGCACTTACCATTCATATCACATCATCAATCAGATCATCGATCATATAATATCACAATATTTCCTTATCTGAGTCAGCTTCTCGAGCCGTATCTGGCCGTGCAACACTTACATTGTCACATATATTGTATGCAGAAGTATTATTTTAAGCAACACATTAGGTTGGCGAAACACTCAACTCAAATGTCATTAAAGTCAGATCCACTCGTGTCTTAGATGGGGCAGTGATATCATAAAACTGTTGTAAGCATTCAAACACTCTGTAGTTTATTTATTTTTTAACAAGTTGTTCTATATTCACCTCGCAGGTGCAACTATGTGGCTTGTATCCTGGATTATATGTTTAAGTCATGGATGTTTAAAGTTCATATTTGTCTAATATTAGTTTACTTTTCATTAATGAAGTATGACGCTGCGCTGCCTGTACACTTGTCCCTGTTTGTGATTGTCAAATGTAGCTAACCCCGCCCCTTTCACGTGAACGCGCTCTCAGCTGGAGAGAGAAACCCTGGCTTGATTTACCGAGTTGATAACCAGCGTCGTAGGACCGCTTAGCGAGATCTCGTTTGTTAGGGTTAGTTAACCTGTTAAGCACTGAGCCTGTTTCAAACAAATGACTATATCTTCACTTCTAAAAGGGGTAAATTAATAATCTTTTTTCTCAAAGCAAGGTTACATCTGTGAGTTGGATGTAGAAGTGTCAGAATCAATATAGATGTTTTTATTTTAAAGTAAATTCAGATGGAACATAGTAAAAACATGTAAATTCTAATCTCCGCCTAAAAAAAAACCATTACTTATAGTGAAAACTACCCTTGAATGATGGGTTAGTAGACTAAAAGCTTTAGGAATCCAAACTATAACATATAAGTACCCTGTATCAAGATTGATGCAAAACAAGTGACATTTGACCTTTTTAGAGAGGTTTAGAAAAATTCCAAAAGTCCAGGCGGACTCACCTCTGGGTAATATGGGAACCATCATTTCCATTTGACCTTTTTCACTGTAAAAATCCATTTATTACTTTGAATTATCACTATAGGTATTCATTCGATCCAAATACAACTGTTGTAAAAAAAAAAAATTGGAGCAGATTTATTTCAAACATTTACAATGTTACAATATTTTGGCATGCCACTCCTGGTAACAATTATTTTTGATAGTCAAGCACAGAAGGACCTGGCACTTCACGCAGTGCCAAGGTGTCTTCACCCTCTTTTTTCCAGCATCATAATAATAATACATTTGATTTTTATAGCGCTTTTATCATACCCAAAGACGCTTTACATTTGGGGAAGGGTAGACAAACAAGGACAGGCAATAAAACAAAACAAAAACAAAAACAGAAAAACAAAAAAAAACAAAAAAAACAGTAAAGCAGTCAGGAGGAAGTCCGTTGAGAGGGGGGGGGGCTTATGGATATACAGACTTGAAGAGATGGGTTTTGAGGCGGGACTGGAACAGGGTAAGGGACTCAGACTCACGGAGGTCTTGGAGGAGGGAGTTCCAGAGCTTCGGGGCTGCCACAGAGAAGGCTCTGTCCCCAAAGCTCCGGAGTTTGGCCTTGGGGATGGAAAGCAAACCGGCTGAGGTGGATCTGAGGGACCGGGGTGGTTGGTAGAGGATGAGGAGGTCAGTGAGGTAGGGGGGGCCAGGTGGTGGAGGGCTTTGTAGGTGAGGACCAGGAGTTTGTATTGGATGCGGTGTGAAACGGGGAGCCAGTGGAGTTCTTTGAGGACCGGGGTGATATGATGCCATGATTTGGTGTGGGTGAGGAGTCTGGCGGCTGCGTTCTGGACACGCTGAAGTTTATTGAGGGATGTAGTGCTGATGCCGTAGAGAAGTGCGTTGCAATAGTCAAGGCGGGAGGAGATGAAGGCGTGAATGAGTCGTTCGGCTGCGGGGCGGGTGAGAGAGGGACGGAGTTTGGCAATATTGCGGAGGTGGAAAAATGAGGTTTTTACAACTTGGCGGATGTGGGG